CGCCCGATCCCCTCCATCGCCACTCGCCCCTTCTCCCAAGTCTCTGTCGACCTTATCACCGACCTACCCGCGTCGGGCGGTTTTGACTCTATCATGATCGTGGTAGACCATGGGCTTACGAAGGGGGTAATTATTTCACCTTGCAATAAAAACATCACCTCCGAAGGAGTGGCCAAACTATTTCTCAAAAACGTGTTCAAAAGATTCGGTCTCCACGAGAAAGTGATCTCAGATAGAGGACCGCAGTTCATTTCGAAATTCTCTCGAGAACTCGCCCGACTTCTCGGATATCAGATCGCCGCATCAACCGCCTACCACCCCCAGACAGACGGACAGACAGAACGTCTCAACCAAGAACTCGAAACCTATCTCCGAATCTATTGCAGAAGCAACCCCCTAGAATGGGCAAATCATCTTCCCATCGCTGAATTCGTCCACAATCATCGAAAGCACGACGCCAGGAACACGTCTCCATTCTTCCTTATGATGGGCTATGAACCACGAGGAATCCCCCACATCCTACCCGTATCCAACACACCAGCAGCAGAAGAAAGACTCAGGAACTTACAGAAGATACGCGAAGAAGCACTCGCCTGCCATAACATCGCTATGCAACGAATGGCGGAAAGATCTCGCCATGAGAAGTACCGACCATGGAAGATAGGAGATAAGGTATGGCTCACAGCCACCAATCTCCTGACATCTTTACCTTCTAGGAAACTTGCGCCCAAACGATACGGCCCATTCGTTATCACCACGGTCTTATCTCCCATCACGTTTACCCTGAAACTCCCAGATCAGTGGAAAGTTCACCCCACGTTCCATGCTTCTGAACTATCATCCTATCGCGAAACAGAGATACACGGACCGAACTACACCGAACCTCCACCTGACATTATCAATGGCGAAGAAGAATATGAAATAGAAGCTATTCTTAGCCATAAGGGCACGGGTAAACGAAGACGCTATCTCATATCGTGGATAGGCTACTCTTCCGGAAGCAACGAATGGATACCCAAGGAGAACTTGCGGAGTTCAAAAGAACTTCTGACAACATATAAGAAGAGGCACAAGCTGGACTGAACAAACCATTCCCCTGCAAAACGAAACCCAAGTAACATGACTCCCCCATTGACACCTTCCCCTACTGGATCCTCTTCATCCTCGCACTCTCTCGGAAACTCTTCGTACAAGACGAACATCCTTAATCTAGACGACGACGCCATCGTCGAGACCACTCTATTATCCCTTCCCCACGCAATTGAGCTTGAGAAACAGCTCGCTGAAGCACCCGCGTCCGTTGCCGCCCCTGTCATATCCCAGATTCATATCATACGCGCTACCGGCGCCCTTGAGCTCAGACTCAAAGAAATCGAAAACGATGCTCTCAGACTCGCATGCCAACACCTCCAGAGACAAATACGCAGCCTTGAGATTCAGCTGCTTCCTTCTGCTTTTAGCACTATCTGCAAGTCAGTTATACGGACTGTTGAAGAACGAAACCAGACCGAAGTCGGTCGCCCGCCAAGCCCTTCTACTAGCGCTCCCCCCAGCAACGTACCTGCTGCAGTTACAGCTGGAGAAGAGACTCAGCCTGTTGCTCAACCGACACCAGTTGAAGAACCACTCCCCATCCCCGAACCCACCGTCGTCTTCAAACGAAAGACCCGTAGAGGGGCTACCGTGCACGGAGTGTCGAAGACTAGAGCTTCTAAGGGAAAGAAGCGTGAAGTCATTGACCTCACCGAAACCCCCGACGTCATCACTGTAAAACAACCCCAGTTTCCCTCAGACAATTTCGTCTGCCGCGTCTGCAAGAAACTCGGGCACCGTCACAAGAACTGCCCCGAATACTACTGCCGCGTATGCCAGGCCCAGAAACCTGGCCACCTTTCCATCTATTGCCCTTACGCGGCAAAGAAGGAACTATTTCCATTGGCTTATACCGATGAAGGCTTCTATGAAGCACTAGCGGCATGGGAGGCCAGGAAAGATGAAGAACTCCTGGAAGAAATAGAAAGGGCGAACCGGGATTACGCCACCAGGTATAATGAACCAGAGTTCTGCAACGCTGACGCAGATCCCATCCACTACGACTACATGAACGAATACTGCGACAACGAGGAATAGTTGAAGTCGGAGACTTCAACCGTAACAAGGGGGTAATGTTACAGTAACATTCAGACCCCTATACTCATTTCCCTTTTCACTTCCAAACGGGCCGTCCGTACCACGCTTATCTCTTATCATGCCTATCTCTTATCTTGACCCTTATCTCGCCAAGCGGGCTGTCCGCCTCTTTCTTGCTTCTATCTTGATAACGCATTTACAAGCTCCGCTTGAACACTGGTATATAAACCTACCTACCCACAGTTGTATTCTCTACTTTAATCTACTGGGTTTTACCTGGAAACATTGTCCTTCAGTAAGGTCTCCAACCTTACTGTCTAAGAACCACTATTCTAAGGGAGTCAGCGACACTCGCCTTAGCCAGAACTCTTGATCTCTCAATCGAGAGCAGACTCACGTCTATCTGGCATTCTGCCGATTGTCTACTCAGACAGAGATAGCTCGACTTATCCCAGTCGTAACACTACATGTAACCGCTGCTCATCATTTCTGTAGAATTCAAGTTCTATTGGAGCTCAGATACTCTATGGGGCTCTTCAAATTTCGTGGAGAATGCAGATGTTTGTGCTAGGACCACGCCTCATCCTTAGCATTCGAGAATATCAAGCAAAGATTGTGGCCAACTCCAACGCAGAAACTAGCATGAATTCAATTGTCTTCAAAGAGCGTGTACATGTAACAACTAGCAGTACTATGTAGCGAAATGCTTGCCGAGTGGTCTGCAGGGAGGAGAAATTGGTGAAGGATCTGTCGTGTTATTTATGGTGTTTCGAAGTATATTTGAAAGATTGGTTAGGTCAACTGGCATCACAACCGGAACGGAGTAGCTACTCACATATGCTTGCACCAAGTGGTGAGCCGAAATTATGCGGAATGTTACAATGGGGAGCTCGAGCAGGGGTTCGTGGAGACGGGGTTGGCAGGAGAGCAGGGCTAGGAAGGGTGCAGGGTTGGCAGGAAAGGAGAGCTAGAGCCAGTGCGGGACGAGTGCAGAGACCTAGAGTGCGTAGAGACAAAGGTCAGGGTCTCAGGAGGTTCAGGGTCAGAGAGTACATAGAACACATACACATGTTATATATAGCCAGGATGCAGAGCATCTTCATCCTCTTCAGAGTGCAAAGCTGGCAGTTTCAATGTCTAGCAACTGACACGGTCCTTGATGCCCACGGTACTTGACGCCAGATATTGAAATACGACAATAATATGTGCAAGTGCCCGACAGCTGATCCTTACCTGTTTTCGAAGTTTTGCACTGAAATGATGAAGAAGTGATTGCGAAGTGTGAAGCCCACCTGGCTGATATAGATAGCTCATTAGCATGAGATGCATCTCTATCCATTCGGGCCACAGAAAAGGAAATGAATGAATCCAGCGGACTCATCGCTCGACTGTAGCGAATGAGCATGACAAGCTCGAGATGAGGCCTGCTGAAGCCCCTGCCAAGCACGACCATCAAAGTAAAGCACTAACGAAACATGCATACATACACCAATTGGCATCGATCAATCGATTACAGTCGCTCCTAGGACAGGCAAACGATCACTTGAACGACGCGAGGTGTATTGATGGCGAGAAGTTGAGGGAAACGCGTGTTGGATTAGAGACAATCCACGTGACGGACAAAGGGACGACGACACGAACCGTGGAAACATTCCAAGTTAGGGTTAGACCTTTTAGGTTTGTTGACGCATACCAAAATGGTCTTTGACAACGGAGTGCAAGCCACATGGGCCATCAATGCATCAAGCTTTCAAGAAGTATCATGGCCATTGTATTCTGCCCGAGAGTATATATATTAATATTGAAGGAATTGACGATTTCATGTCCTCCTGGCCAGTTCATTTTGATATATATGGATCTTCTTCATTACTCAAAATACTAATTTCTAGCTACCTGGACATGGTTTTATGCCACTCCGTCATATCATTCTCTACTGTACTACTCCTCCACTCATTTTATTGCCTTTTGGCAGGAATTATCTGAACTTTGTCACGCTCGTGTCACACAATCTGGTCCTGGCACATCGGGGCTTCTGCCGGATGATGGGTACGTTCTCGCCGCGCAGTTACTTCATCCAGCATTGGTCACATCCAGCTGTAATCAATTCGGCACTGTTCTTCCTACGTATCGATAAGAGATGCAATTGCAACCCCACATGTTGCGTTATCTCCCTCCCCTCAAGGATGCCCACTCTCAGCGATCCAAAAACGGTTGACGCCATCGTCATGATCAATGACGTGCCCGCTGGTGTCCGCTGTCATACTCGTGATGACCTTGAGAGGAGATTACTGAGGAAGCTCGACTTGCGCATGTCCATAATACTGATTTTATATGCCTTGAACTTGGTGAGTCTGAGGTCTAAGGTCTTTGCAAACTCTATTTTGATCTCACTGTGCACCCTAGATTGACAGAACCAATATTAGGTGCATGACATACTGTCATACTTGCATGAATCTTATGAAATCTGTAGCAATGCTCAGTTACAGGGTTTTGAGCGAGACCTGCACTTGCATGGGGAACAATACACCACAACTTTGTCCATCCTATCTGTTGGATACATTACAATGCAAGTGCCAGGGTGAGTTTAGTCCTTCATCGAGAGACAACCGAACATAATTTTTTTTCAGCAATATGATCCTACACTGGCTGGAGAGACCTTCTGTCATCCTTCCGTGCTGTATGTTAGTATGGGGTACAATATCAATATTGTCAGGTTTGTTGACACAAATCGTTCATGAAGATGGCTGCTGACAATACTCAGGGACCACAACAAAGTACACTTCCTTGTTTTGCATCGTTCAGATCCTGTTTCTGATAGTTTGACTCAAGTTATACTGGGATTGTTGTCGCCCACTTCTTTCTTGGCCTTGCTGAAGCTCCCTTCTTCCCCGGTGTCATATTTCTTGTATCTAAATGGTACAAGCGAGACGAGGTCGCCTTGAGAATAGCTCTCGTTTCTAGTGGAATTTTCCTCAGCGCTGCGTTCAGATTGCTGCTTGCATCTGGTATACTTCATAACATGCAGGACAAACTTGGTCAAGCCGCATGGAGGCAGGTAGCGATTGTTTCTATCGCTCCTTGAAGCTGAATGATCTGTAGATGGTTATTTTACATCGAAGGCGGCATCACCATCTCGGTTGCGATTTGCGCGATGTTCATACTCCCTGATTTCCCGTACAACACCAGGTGGTTCACCCCGGAGGAAAGAGAACTCGCTATCTCTTGCCTCGCAGAAGATGGCCATGATAATGCTGACAGACTTGGGAAACAGACAATCATGCAAGGACTGCGGGATGCTGTGTCTGACTGGAAGGTATGGTTCTTTTCATTTGCAACTATGTTCCAGATATTGGGGCAGTCTTTCACCGGTTACTTCCCAATGCTGTGCACGACACTGGGATATGACGCGACTGTAATGCTGTTGCTTTGCATTCCTCTGTGGGTGTTCGGGGGTATGATCGCATTTGCTCTTACATGGTTAGTTAATCATTTCTATCGCAAAGTCACATCTCACGGGGACCAGGTACTCTGACAAGAAGAAAAAGTGTTACCAATGCTTCATGGTCTCCAATACACTCTGCATCCTTGCATTCATCATATCAATCTCTACGATGGACAAGGCTGCGCGCTATATTTCACTATAAGTGGTATCACCATTCGTGGGGCATCAGTCTTGTACTCAGAAATATACAGGTTCCTCATGGCTCAAGTCATCAGTGGATACTTGCTGCTCTTTGGATGGATTAGCAACACTTTCGCTAGAGAACCTGCAAAGCGCGCCATTGCTATCGCTCTGATGAACGCACTGGGGCAGACAGGCAGTGTTATTGGAGCGTCAGTGACGCTGTCACTGATCTCTTGCTCTTGCTAACTATTCACTACACTGTTCGCATAGGTACATATGGCCGTCGAGCTGGGGCCTGACATATCGTTATTCCTATGCCATCTGCGTCGCTGCACTCGGAGTGTCGACAGGGATGTTTGGTGGTATGTATTTTTATCTGAAGCACTTGAACAAGCAGATCGAGAGGAACGAGCAGGATGTGAACGATATCAATGAGCTTCGAGATCCGATTGGTTTTAGATATCTGGTGTAGTTGAAAATTGAAATATCGATAGCTTCTGACAGCACCACTTACACCAACTTGCTGTTATCTATCCGGACAATCGTAAATTCAGGTTCTGTGCTAGGTATAACATTGACAAGTCATCAAGAATCAAATGGTATGCCCGATATTACAAACAATAAAATTATTGTGATGTGCATCAGGAAAAATTCAGGTCACTATATAGTACTATATAGCCAGGGTAGACCGTGTAGCTTGGTAGCCAAGTCCCTTCTATATAGTATGTGAGGCAAATATGTAGTACTACGTAGTACTATATAGTGCTATGTAGAACCGGGTAGCGCTACTATGTACTACCATAGTTCCCTTAAGTTCTACTACAGGCAGCTAAATAGCACTACATAGTTCATGTAGCGCTACTACTGCCAGCTTCAAGCAGCTACATAGTCACACAGATCACATACTAGTAGTAGTAGTAGCACGCGGAATCATGAAAACAATTGAATTTAAATGCCTAATAATGAACCAGTCAGCCTATTTTACGACTTGCTAGCCTCCATGTCATCCTGCTCCTCAAGTCGGTACTCTCGGATGGCATCTTCGAATGCCGTGTCACTGATCCGGGATGCAGATGACGAGATAGTGAGGGTGTCAACACCTGTTACCTGCATGGAAACTTCAAAGCACGAAAGTAAGAATATCATTTTGAATGTTCGACTCGTCAGCTGCAACGGAATGCAGCCATGATACATCTAGATAAAATTGTTTGTCCGTGTCACCTTATTCCAAAGTTGGGTCCGTCTGTTGACCCTGGGTGGACGAGTGCGAATGTCTATGAGATGGCACATGATTTTTATCTGAATACTTTTATTGACCTTGAGACTTTTTGTATTTCCGCTCGTAGTGTCTAGATCTACTACTACTGCTACTGCGCTACAATGACTACAGGTTGCTACTACTGCCAACTGTTGCTCTACATAGTCCTAGTTCCGGCCACACCAAGTATGTAGTACTACATCAGTAAACTACAAATTTCTCCACAGACATCAACATTTTCGACAGTTCTCACAGTAACCCACAGAGGCACAGCGCTCACAGCAAATTTCTCCCAGGTATCGACACTTTTCTGCAGTTCCCCACAGTTCCCCACAGAGGCACAGCGCTCACAGGACGTACAGCCTCACAGCATCTGTCAGTAAGATACTATTATAGTTACTAGTAGTCATGAGCACTACTAGGCCTAAGTATTACTTCAACTCGTAATCCTCAAAGTGAGTGATGTGCTGGCCTGGCTTGGCCTGAAAGCCGCGGCTTTGGCCTGGCTTGAGGTGGCTTTGGCTTTCGAAAATCTCAGGCCAGGCCGCAAGCCAAAGCCAGGCCAAAGCCATGGCTTGGCTTTGGCCTGGCCATGGCTCATAGTGGAGGAAAGTTAGAATATACATTTAGAAACTACTCTAGACTAGTAATCTGACATTTCAGATACAGATATGTCATCCAAGTCATCACTGTCGTCGTCGTCGTCGTCTTCCAAAACTAATGTGTCCCAACCCTCTTCGTCATCTGCAACATCACCCACCTTCTCTGAAACACTGGCTTCAGTGTCAGAGTCATTGAACTCTTCTTCTATGAGTGACGATGGCCTGGCCTCGCGAAACAAAAGATCATGACGTAGTGAGCATTTAAGACTTTGGAGCGCTTCCACTATATCACCTTTGAGCCGATTCCAATGTTTACTGATTGTGATTCCGCCTTGTGAAAATGCTCATTCACTTGAGACAGATGATGTCATGATGGAGAGATAGTCGCGTGCAAGTGATGCCCACGTTGGGTTGTCATGGTGGTAGTATCGGGGGAACATTGTGATGAGGGAGCAGCAGAAATTTCGTTTTCGTCGACCAGTTGGCGTTCAGCAGCAAGCTTTGCAGCTTCGGCGGCACGGAAGTCCTTGATTGCTTTCATTTGGGAAGGGAGGGCTGCCCTTTCTGAATGTTGGAGAAGGGCAGCTGTAGGTTTCGTTTTGCGCACCGGGCGCGCAACAACACAAAGTTCATCTTCGTTGTCCGTGTGGATTGTACCAATCATCAGAGGCCTCAGACTAGTAGGTAGGGACAGAAAGAAATATCATTTTGGGGGCACATGATGCTGTCACGAGCAAGTACTTAGTAAACTAGGATAGAAACATTGAAAATTAGCGTATCATAGGAATAAAGATTCGCAATATGGACAAGCACGAGCCGGTGTCAAAGCATCACTCGCTCGTCCTACTTTTGGTTCCGCTCATACAGCTTCATTCTCCCATCATACCCATCTCGGATCCATCGGCGTTTGATATGGTGGATCATTGACGAGGAGGTTGTGAAGCAGGCCAACTCAGACAACAATAAACGCACCTATGACACGAAAGTAAGTTATGATGATGTGGAATTGGCGACTCACTGTTTTCTGATATGGCGTGATATGAAAATGAGTCGCAGGTAGCAACAGAAATGTCGGAGAAACAAAAATAGATGTGAGGTTACTAACTATGCTTACTAAGTACCAAAGCCGTGGCCTGGGCCGCCAGCTTTGGCTTTTCAACATCCTGGGCCAGGCCAAAGCCATGGTCAGGCCATGACCTTTGGCCTGGCTTGGCCTGGCCTATTCTGGCCTGGCCTGGCCTGGCCCACGGCCTGAAGCCAGGCCACGCACATCACTACTCAAAGTACTTAGAATTAAAATTTAAAGTCACACAATTTGAAGCATCCACCAAGTCAAGCGCATGAAGCAGAATTTTATATCCATATTTACTATATTACCAGTACCGCGAAATACAAGCTATTTGATACAACATAAGATACTCAACATTAGTCCAACTGTATGGTTACATGGCACTGAGATGCGGTGAATGAGTCTACGATACAAGTGTTAGTCGGTAGTGCTGTGTACACGAAGGCACACTTACCATGGAAACCAGGTGGCATTGAGCAGTGAGAAAGTCCGTGTTTTTTGAATGTGATGCGCATATGACCTAGTCCTACATCCGCCTTGTCAAGCTTCTGCTTAGAAATGGCGGACTTATATTTCGAAAGATTGGTCATGACCTCGTGTTCTCGGACAACACAATCCACAAGTGTTTTCTCTGCTACAAATACATTGTGTCGGGCCCTTGTGAGGTCCATGATGAGGTTTGCTTCAAGGTTGTCAACATCATCGATGGTCTGTATGCACGTTAACAAGCATTGTAAGACTCGCATATCAGTCACTTACCATTAACCCAATAGTGTCAACGACATCATACAAGTCAGCGATACCACCACTGCCAGGGTCACCCAGAGTTCGGCTTGATTGCCTCTTGTTGGAGTATCGCGGGCACATATGTGACGCTGATGGTACTTCACTGGAAATGTTTAGATGAATTGGTGTGTGGCTTGACTCGGACATGAGTGTTTTGTAAAAACTAATATGGCTTATTGATTCCGGATATCATAGCTTACTTTGAACTCAGAATCTCACACGCACATCAATACTATGTCATCACTCCAACTTCTAGAATGTCCTTCGTGCGGCAAGGGCAGTTTCAAGGACCATGTCGCTGTCACTCGACATATGAGCCAACCTCGCTCTGGCTGCAATACTTGGCTGCAGAATCTGATATGCTTGGATGAACTGAATAATCCCGTGAATATGGACGAGTCAGATGACAGAGTAAATAATTCTGACATGGAGTCCAGTGGTTTTGAAAATTGGGATGAGGTGTTCCAAGGGAGTAGAATGGAGGACCAGGTTCATGACGAGCGAACACCAACTCGCGATTCGGAAGTTATGGACTCATATCCTGACTGTGCACAATCATACGGCAGGGGTTACATGTTCCTGGACTTATTCAATACGGACGAGAACAGCAAACACCGTGTTACGAATCCATATTATCCTTTCAGTGGCCAGAGAGACTGGGAGGTTGGGTCATAGTTGCTTCACTCAGGGTTAAGCATGGGAAAGATAGATAGTTTCCTTTCGCTCGAGATGGTGAGTAGTAATAAATTCTTCAATAATATATAATTTTTGAAAGTGTCTCGTTCAGATAAAGACCCTTCCGTTGTTGTTCAGTTCGGCCAAGGAACTACGCGGCAGAGCGGAAATGTTACCCAGCGGTCCACGCTGGATGTCTCAAACAATACCTACAATGCATCCCACGAAATTGCCTGTTGTCTTGTATTGGCATGATCCCTTAGATTGTGTTTCAAGTCTTCTCAACCACCCTGCCTTTCATGATGAGCTAGACTTTACACCTCACAGGGTGTATACCACTGCGCAGCGGCTGTGCCATGTATATTCGGAATGGATGACCAGCGATGACGCGTGGAATATGCAGGTACATATCGTTTCATTTGTGCGAGTCATTATACTTATCTGTTTTTGGACAGTCAGCCCTACCAAGAGGTGCAACACTCCTCAGGACCATTTTATCTTCTGACAAGACGAATATATCGACCATGACGGGCGACAGAGTTGCACACCCCCTTCTAGTTAGTCTTGCTAACATACGCATGTCCACACAACTCAAGTCGTCTTCGAATGCCTTTGTACTCACCGCTCTACTTCCTGTCCCAAAATTCATCCATAAGAACAAACGCATGCGAGGCGTACTTGAAGATCGCCTCATTCACGAATGCTTGGATATCGTTCTACGTCCACTCAAGTTGGCCGCTCGCGAAGGGATCATGCTTTCAGACCCTGTTGGACACAGTCGCTATTGCTTTACACCGCTCGTGAGCTATATTGTTGACACCCCGGAGGCCATGATGCTGGCCGCTGTTGGCGGGAAAACCTCCCCAGTCACTACAGCCATGTACAAACAGTTTGAAGACCCCTTTCGTCATCAGCCTCGCACAGGAGCAACTACACTCTCCCAGCTGGACATTGCACGGAGTAAAGCTGATCCCAACGACATTGAGGCATTTTTTCGCGAAGCACAGAAGTTTCGTTTGAATGGCGTGAATGCACCATTCTGGCTGGACTGGCTCCTCAGTGATCCATCGCATTTTCTAACTCCCGAATTTCTTCACCTCATTCATCACGAGTTCTACGACCACGATGCGAAGTGGCTCATTTGCGCAGTCGGGCATACAGAGATTGATTTTCGGTTTTCTGTCTTGCAGGTGATCACTGGGTTCTGTCATTTTTATGGCGGAATTTCAAAGCTTAAACAGGTTACAGGACGCACTCAACGCGACATTCAGCGCTCAATCATTGCAGTCAGCGCAGACGCAGTTTCTAACACTGTGATGACTGCCATACGAGCTCTGATGGACTTTCGGTACCTCGTACAATCACCCGTAATTGACGACACCCTACTCACTCAGATTTCCATGGCCCTTGAAGAATTTCACCGCAACAAAGATGCAATTATTGAGGGTGGATTTCGTCGTGGTCAGCGTGGCGGAGTCATTGAGAACTGGTATATACCAAAGCTAGAGCTCATGCAGTCGATAGTTCCAAGCATAAGGAACACTGGAGTTCCTCTGCAATGGACTGCCAACACCACGGAGCATGCGCACATAACGGAAATCAAAGATCCTGCTCGCTCAAGCAATAACAACAACTATGATCCCCAAATATGTCGCCATCTTGACCGTGCTGATAAATGCCGCCACTTTGACCTTGCTATGAGTCTGCTCAACAATATGCCAGACTCAAAGCAGCACAGTTCAGATGTAGATGTCGATGAAAATGTCGATTTCGATGCAGACGACGATCATGATATCCCAATAGACCTTCTGGCAATGATCAAATACCCTGGACATTCACGTCCAATCACGAATTACTTCGGAATCGCCAAGTTCCTCCAGTACAGGGAAATTGGGACGGTCCCTATGCCATTGCGTTCATTTGTTGTCGAACGCACAGGATTTCACTTCGCTTATGACCCCTCCATTAGAAAGATATCTGTTGATGATGCTGCCATCAAGTTTGACCTTGCTGACTTATGACCAGCCATTGCCGATTTTCTTCGTTGTGAGGATACTCATGGGAGAGATCATGTCCATACTATTGGGGGGGCTAGAGGAGCTGGACCCGCTGCTTCACTTCCCTTTGACACGCTACAGGTCTGGTTTAAACTTCAGCTGCAGGACACCGAAATCCACGACATTAGCATCATACGGCCTGTGCAAACCCTCAACTGTGCACCCCCTTCTGATCCCTGGACCTCTGGCCAGTATGATACAGTTATCATTAACAACGATGCAGGATGCTTATGGCCCACAAGTGGTCTTCGTGGTACATTATGCTCTCATGTCGCGCTGAATATTTACTTATTGTCAAGTCACAGGTCATACTATCCACTTTGGTCACCCCATTTCAGGTACCTCTTAGGTTGTATTATACCTATAGAGGTTTTCACCTAAGGGGTGCTTTTCGGGTGGTCCGGCCAATATTATCTGGTCTTTCCCCAAGTGCATAGGGTCCAAAATGAAATGTATTGAGCATGGTCCAGGGATCAAAATAATTTTTGCATGGGAAAGACCACCAGCCAACTTTAGACCATGCATACATTGGGAATTCCCCATGGTGTAGGGGTGTCAGGGGTCCTATTATGACCCAAAATTTTGGGCAAAAAAAAAACACTTTGGTCATCCTCAAATGCCAATTTCTTTGGAAATTTCTCACTATATGTATTGCATCTATGCCCTGCACCCTCCATAAACAAATCCTCTCATATATAATTGAACAATATATCTGGTGGGTATATGGAAAAAATGAAAAGTTTACTTTAATTGAACCTCTTGATGAAAGTTGTAGTATGTGTTAAGGCAAGTCTATATGTGATCATATGTTATCAAAATTTCGATGAGAAGGCAAGATATGGCTGTAACAAAAATCGTTGTCAGGCTTGTTTACAAAAAACAAAAGTCATCATCCTTGATGACAGTTGTAGTCCTAGTGAGGGTAGGTCTATACCTGCATATATTTTGTTAATTTACTATCATTTGGGAAATATACAAGCTTTGTGCAAAAACAATGAACAGGGAAGACCACATGCTTAATGGGAAAGACCACAGGCATAATATTCATCCTGTGGTCTTTCCCTATTGGATGGATATTACTCCTATGGTCTTTCCCACTAAGCTTGTGGTCTTTCCCCTATTAGACAAATATTACGCCTATGGTCTTTCCCACTAAGCTTGTGGTCTTTCCCCTATTAGACAAATATTACGCCTATGGTCTTTCCCACTAAGCTTGTGGTCTTTCCCTATTGGATGAATTTACGCCTATGGTCTTTCCCACTAAGCTTGTGGTCTTTCCCTATTGGATGAATATTCTGCCTGTGGTCTTTCCCTATTGGATGAATATTACGCCTATGGTCTTTCCCACTAAGCTTGTGGTCTTTCCCTATTGGATGAATATTCTGCCTGTGGTCTTTCCCTATTGGATGAATATTACGCCTATGGTCTTTCCCATTAAGCTTGTGGTCTTTCCCTATTGGATGAATATTATAATGAGAAAGACCATAGACATAATATTCATCCAATAGGGAAGACCACAAGCTTAATGGGAAAGACCACACTTTGGTTAAAGACCACAGCAACTCACTTGTGGTCTAAAAGACAAGCCCGACAACGATTTTTTGTATTGCTTATAACTCCCTGAAATCACATGCAATTGCTTAGATAATACAATATACATTCCTGCCCCAAGTAGTACTACATATTTTATTAAAACATCGGACCGTGGGAAAATTATGCTGTTATGAACACATAGTCTATTTTTGTCATTCTTATGAGTCACCTCACAGTCAGGGGCATTACCATACACCAAATTTCGAAATTTCAGGCACCTATGGTAATTCCCCCTTAATGTGTCATCCCCTATAGTTTCATAAGTCACCCCACAGTCAGGGACATTACCACACAGCATGATTATGCAATTTCAGGATCATTACATCAGATTTCATCATAGGGATCTAGATAGTTACCACATCATATCTTAATTTCGCAATTTTGACCACTTACTCCACAACACCTAAAATATCACCCATTTTGGTAACTCTCCAAAATACCAACTTCTCCATGTCATTTCTTTCTCCACTACACCACAATCACTCATCCCATGTATCTAAGTAGTAGGTTATGTTATATATGTATAATATAATGTAATAGACCATTTTTTTGGTATATTTCTGTCCACATGCCTCCTCTAGGTCTATAATTGCTGTGTCTGATGACAACATGGAAAAACATTTTCGCATTTTTGCTCCTGTGATGGGAGTGTGTTCTGGAAGGTGTAGAACATGTTTAGGAGTGTATATAAACTCATTTCACCACTTTTTGACCCTCTATACCCACACAGGCCTTGTACATAGACCAAAACCTGCAAACATGCATTTTCGCATTTTTGGTGTTTTTACTGCTTTAGCTTTTCATAACTTGTCCAACCTGTTCATATATCATCATTAGTACATATTTACATGATTTCCATGTGCAGGATCAGTTAGATATAGGCCAGAATCTCAGGATCTAGTAGCAAAAAGCTATTGTTACTGATAAGGGGCTACAGTCTTCCCCAGGTCGAAATCTCATGATCAGACATTTGGGATACATGTCTAGCACACCCATAATAACAGCCCTAAATTTATAGAACGATCCACCCAGAGCCTAGTGAATGGCAAGCAAATTAGACATGTTATAGAGCGTGGGAAAGTAAAAGTGTCAAATCATCGAAAGTCACCAATTGATTACCATGTATGATACTAGAATTGTACCACAGTATCTACCTAATTTTGCACCACATATGTCATGTTCTTTACCATGTGCTCATTTCTGAATGGATCTTTATAAGACTTTGGTACTATGTTTATGAATGTATTGGATATATATTTCAAGGGTCTGATCATAAATATTTCCCCTGGGGAAGTCTCTTGCTCCTTATCAATAGACATGTTAACTTTCGATGATTTGACACTTTTGCTTTCCCACGCTCTACACTGTCTAATTTGCTTGCCATTCACTAGGCTCTGGGTGGATCGTTCTATAAATTTAGGGCTGTTATTATGGGTGTGCTAGACATGTATCCCAAATGTCTGATCATGAGATTTCGACCTGGGGAAGACTGTAGCCCCTTATCAGTAACAATAGCTTTTTGCTACTAGATCCTGAGATTCTGGCCTATATCTAACTGATCCTGCACATGGAAATCATGTAAATATGTACTAATGATGATATATGAACAGGTTGGACAAGTTATGAAAAGCTAAAGCAGTAAAAACACCAAAAATGCGAAAATGCATGTTTGCAGGTTTTGGTCTATGTACAAGGCCTGTGTGGGTATAGAGGGTCAAAAAGTGGTGAAATGAGTTTATATACACTCCTAAACATGTTCTACACCTTCCAGAACACACTCCCATCACAGGAGCAAAAATGCGAAAATGTTTTTCCATGTTGTCATCAGACACAGCAATTATAGACCTAGAGGAGGCATGTGGACAGAAATATACCAAAAAAATGGTCTATTACATTATATTATACATATATAACATAACCTACTACTTAGATACATGGGATGAGTGATTGTGGTGTAGTGGAGAAAGAAATGACATGGAGAAGTTGGTATTTTGGAGAGTTACCAAAATGGGTGATATTTTAGGTGTTGTGGAGTAAGTGGTCAAAATTGCGAAATTAAGATATGATGTGGTAACTATCTAGATCCCTATGATGAAATCTGATGTAATGATCCTGAAATTGCATAATCATGCTGTGTGGTAATGTCCCTGACTGTGGGGTGACTTATGAAACTATAGGGGATGACACATTAAGGGGGAATTACCATAGGTGCCTGAAATTTCGAAATTTGGTGTATGGTAATGCCCCTGACTGTGAGGTGACTCATAAGAATGACAAAAATAGACTATGTGTTCATAACAGCATAATTTTCCCACGGTCCGATGTTTTAATAAAATATGTAGTACTACTTGGGGCAGGAATGTATATTGTATTATCTAAGCAATTGCATGTGATTTCAGGGAGTTATAAGCAATACAAAAAATCGTTGTCGGGCTTGTCTTTTAGACCACAAGTGAGTTGCTGTGGTCTTTAACCAAAGTGTGGTCTTTCCCATTAAGCTTGTGGTCTTCCCTATTGGATGAATATTATGTCTATGGTCTTTCTCATTATAATATTCATCCAATAGGGAAAGACCACAAGCTTAATGGGAAAGACCATAGGCGTAATATTCATCCAATAGGGAAAGACCACAGGCAGAATATTCATCCAATAGGGAAAGACCACAAGCTTAGTGGGAAAGACCATAGGCGTAATATTCATCCAATAGGGAAAGACCACAGGCAGAATATTCATCCAATAGGGAAAGACCACAAGCTTAGTGGGAAAGACCATAGGCGTAAATTCATCCAATAGGGAAAGACCACAAGCTTAGTGGGAAAGACCATAGGCGTAATATTTGTCTAATAGGGGAAAGACCACAAGCTTAGTGGGAAAGACCATAGGCGTAATATTTGTCTAATAGGGGAAAGACCACAAGCTTAGTGGGAAAGACCATAGGAGTAATATCCATCCAATAGGGAAAGACCACAGGATGAATATTATGCCTGTGGTCTTTCCCATTAAGCATGTGGTCTTCCCTGTTCATTGTTTTTGCACAAAGCTTGTATATTTCCCAAATGATAGTAAATTAACAAAATATATGCAGGTATAGACCTACCCTCACTAGGACTACAACTGTCATCAAGGATGATGACTTTTGTTTTTTGTAAACAAGCCTGACAACGATTTTTGTTACAGCCATATCTTGCCTTCTCATCGAAATTTTGATAACATATGATCACATATAGACTTGCCTTAACACATACTACAACTTTCATCAAGAGGTTCAATTAAAGTAAACTTTTCATTTTTTCCATATACCCACCAGATATATTGTTCAATTATATATGAGAGGATTTGTTTATGGAGGGTGCAGGGCATAGATGCAATACATATAGTGAGAAATTTCCAAAGAAATTGGCATTTGAGGATGACCAAAGTGTTTTTTTTTTGCCCAAAATTTTGGGTCATAATAGGACCCCTGACACCCCTACACCATGGGGAATTCCCAATGTATGCATGGTCTAAAGTTGGCTGGTGGTCTTTCCCATGCAAAAATTATTTTGATCCCTGGACCATGCTCAATACATTTCATTTTGGACCCTATGCACTTGGGGAAAGACCAGATAATATTGGCCGGACCACCCGAAAAGCACCCCTTAGGTGAAAACCTCTATAGGTATAATACAACCTAAGAGGTACCTGAAATGGGGTGACCAAAGTGTACTATCGGTCAAATCAGGCTTATCATGTGTCCTATTGGAAAGAGTGGCACGAATTGGTCATGGAAGGACCGTTTTCTGGTATATGTGCATCGCTTTGACATTGTTCCTCAAAGCTCCGGCACCAATGATTGTGAGCCAAGTACGCAGCTCCACTTGCTCAAACGAGCAAAACACTCAAATGGTACTTGGGTGGGTGACATCATACCCGTGACGCAGCTTAGATCACCTGTGAACCTTTTCCCTCGCTTCGGTGCAAGTGCGGACAACCGTCTCACCCCGTATAACAGCATGGAGCATGCTTCACAATTTTGGCTCAACAAGTATTGGGACAAGAACATGTATCTTCCTCTTTCTATGTAGCTTTTGATGTGGGGTTACCTTGTTTCTTACGACTTTCATACTATGCAATGAACGGATTGGTTGAGCGGTCTAGCCTTTGGTTATTCTAGTCTGTTTTATTCTTAGATCACTAGTTCTGAGAATTCTGTCACTATGTGGCGATAAGCTCAAGCGCCCATCGTTTGTCCATTGTTCAAGTACAAAAAATGGCATTCTTTTTCAGGACCGTTGACAACGGAATCAAATTATCGTCATTGGTGTCTATCCCAGAAGTCACCGACGTTCACACTATGAACAAGATCATGTCCGACGAGCTTAATCGTCTAGTCACTCACGAGGGTTCACCAGAGGCCTCACAACCGCTTGGACACCTACTTTCTGAAATATTCCAGCCTTTCACAGAACCTCTTCCTGATGTATGCGACCTTAAAATACCTTTCGGAAAAATCATTCATCGCAACAATCACATCAATGAGAAATTCAGTGAGACATCACCAGATACCCTAGTGCCACTGTACGACACTGAAGCAAAGACTTGTAATTGGGCTCTTCCAGTCGACCCACCTGGAGATGATGATAGCAGCCTTCCGGGTCAGGTCGAGTCGTCAGAGAGCAACAATCCACAGGAAGCAACCCACGAAGAAATTTTTGCAGCATTTCTCAATGCTCTGGTTGGCTGGTTGGCGGCGTCACAGCTCAAACTAGTAGCCATGCGCTTTGCAACTAGCTCATGGAGTGCGGCCAATGCACATAAGGCATTGCCCGGCAGTGACATCAGGCGCAAGCCAGATATCGTTCTATCCGACGACATATCAGCAAAGTGGGGAAACATCAGAGTCTCAGCTGAACTCACGCACAGTCGCTACCGGCCTGCGATGCGACTTGGGAAGGCTGCAGATACCCATGCCTATCTTATGATGAGTGAGCAGCCCTGGAGGCGCTTTGCTCTCATATTATCATTCACAGACGAATATCGCCACCTAAGAGTCTTGATGTATGATCACTCTGGTGGTGCTGTGTCCCCTCGCTTCGATATCTACACACAACCTGACATATTCTCGCATATCATCGTGGCTATTACTTTTGGGAGTCTGGAGTGTGTCGGCTATGATCCCACTGTTTCCTTCTCGAGGACTGTTGCAGCACCCCGAAGCAAAGATATCTGCGTCTATCGTCCCATCAAAAATGCTTCTGCCCGACGTACTACGACAGATAATGCTGTTGCTGCATCCACCTCTGATTCTCTTTCATTTCCTGAGGATCCCGACGGAGTGTCCAGCGATGCTCTTGAATCGTCAATCTCCGATAACTCTGATGAGTCTTCTAATGACTCTACTCATGACTCAATGCAAGGGAATCTGAGCGGCTCTCCCACACATGACTCGATGGACGAAGGGTACTTCCCTGCCCCTCCCCCCCAGTGCACCCCACTGCAACCCACAGTGCTCCCCTTGTTAGCCTCACATCCCAAGTACCCCAGGCTGAGATGACCGGGAGCATCTATTCCGTTACCCCTCTCCCTTCCCAATTCCCCTATTCTACTCAATCACCTGAACCCTGCGGCAAGATCCGCGTAGGGCAGACAATCTACACCATAAAGAGAATTCTTTTTGTGAGCCAGGGCCTCGTTGATCGTGGCACCGTTTGCTACTTAGTCACCTTAGACGATGAAGACTATATCATCAAAGACCATTGGGTTGTGGGTAAGGACGATCGGGTAGTCCTGAATGAGATCAAGATGCTGGAGTTGATGGATGGTGTCCCTGGCATTCCAAAGCTGGTAGATTATTGGATCGTTGAACGGTCAGATGGCACGCCTGACGTTACCAAAAAATATCGGAAAAAGGAATGCCGGAGCACCCAGGGCACTAGTCACACTCATGTGCGTCTTGTCTTGAAGCCATGTGGTCGCCCCCTTCACATGTTCCGAACACTTAAGGAGTTTGTGCGAGCACTAAGAGATATTGTTAAGAGTAAGTACTATCTAGTAATTCATGGGGCGTCTTGAACTGATGCTTTCTAATGTTAGTTCAACAAACTGTGGTGGAGGAACATCAGATTTTGCATCGGGATTGTAGTCTTAACAATGTGATGATCCTAGACGACATTAGTGGCAGCGAAGGCTTTCTTATTGATTGGGAGTTTGTGGTTCGCATCGCTGCAGATCATAAATATCCCCTTGGTGGTACAGTAAGTATACTTAGTATTGATTAGACATTCAGTTTATTGATTCATTTGCCAGGGCACAGTCCCTTTCATGTCACGCAGGCTTCTTAACCAAGTCTCAGTCATCCAGCAGGAAGCCGAGTTGGAATCTCAGGAGAAAAAAGCGACTCGGGGATGCAAATCAGTCGAAAAACCGAAAACCCCGAAATCGTCCTCTGATTCTAAAGTGCTACCTGTATCATACGTCCTTCAAACTTTTTCAGATGACCTGGAGTCCCTTTTTTTGTGTTCGCATGGGTTTGCATCAAGTTCTGTAGTCCCAACGGCATGGTGCGCAAGGAATGCTCACCCAATTCGTTACTAAATCGATGGACCAACCTTGACCTGGCGTCATGCGCCGCCTTCAAGATCACTTTTTTTGCGAATCCGACAGATGGAAAGCGTCTTATAGACGAATTTCACCCATACTTCAACCCCCTGATCCCCCTCACAATAGAGTGGCGTAGAGTTCTGGTGGACAACATGATCCACCCCGTCACCTTCGACACCATTCTTGGTGTACTCAACTCTCATCTCGACAAGCTTCCTGACAACAAGGAGCTCGTATCTACTGTGAACATGCTCATGAATGATGCTGTCATTCTCACACGTCATGTCAAGGGCAAACAGATTGCTTCAGAGTCTTTCTCTGTGGCAGCCACAACACCCAAGCGGCAAAAGTCTCGCCATGGTGATACCGAGTCCGACTCCTCAGCATCAGGCAGTGATGCATGACCAGACATGGAGCTTGTATGTATGAAAGATCGTTTAATTTGGGCACCCACTCATTACGCATATTCAGCTGTCATTCTTCTTTATTGATGTATGGATAGCATGCCGCTTGACTTTAGTATTTTTAGAACCTCGCTGATCGTCTACTACTGCCAGTGACTCGGAGATTGGGGCAAGATGTGCTTACAACACTTACTTACCAGCACCTCGTTTATTCCTACTAGTATATCGTTCTCTCAAGCTCACAATCGATCTATTACTAGTCTCTGCGCCGGATTACTACTATGTGACGTCCGGACATGATTACATAAGATTTTGACTCATGTGATCGGCAATCTTAGGTCCTGTTTGGACAGCGAATATTATAATTCAATTCAAAATTCGACCATCATGTGACACTGCACGTGATGTATTTGGTGACCTAGATTCCGCCGACTGTTCCGACTGATTCTGATTATTGATTAACTTAATACTACTGAATTAGATCTTGCACTGCAACCATCACCGCAACTAAGCATGGACCTCGAAGCACAAAGTGACTTGCGTCGGAAACACCTCATTCTTCTTGCGATAACAATCGCTATCGCTCAGATCACCTACTACTACAAGTTGCTACTTACATCCCGCGCTGAAAAAGTGCCATACCACACATCAATCTTAACAGGGAAGGCATGGGTGATTGAACTGATTACTGGTCACCCAGATCGTATCAAACATAATTTTGGCGTCCATCTTGAAGTCTTTGAGAGCTTGGTGCAGACTCTTCACAAGCATGGATTTGTTCAGTCGCGCAATGGCATCTCGGTCGACGAGCAACTTGGTATCTTTCTTTACACATGTGTGACTGGACTTTCATCTCGCCTCGTTGGGGAGAGGTTTCAACACTCTCCAGACACCATAACAAGGTAGTACATTCACATCTATTGATCTAATTCATTTAATATGACCATGTTCTAGATATTTCAAGCGGATGCTCTTTTTCTTTTCATCCCATCCGTTCTACACATCGCAAGTTAAGTTTCCTAACGAAAATACACCAATCTCCGCAATGATACATGACAACCCGTCATTCCGGTTCTTTGATCGATGCATCGGTGCCATAGATGGCACCCACATCCGTGCATTCGCATCACTCGACGACCATGTCGTCCTGCGCAACCGAAAGGGATTCTTGTCCCAGAACTGTCTGTTCATCTGCGATTTCCAGTTTCGCTTTACATATTCTCTCTGTGGCTGGGATGGCTCAGTCGCTGACGCATCACTCTGGAATGACGCACGCAAAACCGACTTATACATGCCTGCAGGGAAATATCTTCTCGCAGATGCCGGTTTTGGCACTTGTGACGCACTACTGATCCCTTATCGAGGCGTGCGCTATCATCTGAAGGAGTGGCGTCAGGCGAACCTTGCGTGAGTTTTCTCTGAGTCTCCTTAGTACTTAGTGTGATTAAATTATATGTACAGGCCCAGAGATCCTAAAGAGCTATTCAATCTACGACATGCTTCGCTACGCAACGTTATTGAACGTATTTTCGGAGTCCTGAAGCGTCAGTGGCGGATTTTACAGGTTGCGCCAGAATACAGCATGGAGATTCAAGCACGGATCCCAGCAGCGCTTTGCGCTATCCACAACTTCATTCGCCAGCACGATCCCGACTTCTTCGACCCCGAGGAGGATTATGATCTCGCGGAGAATGATGATACTCATGGTGCGGTATTGGGCACACTTTCAGAAGGACAGCCAGATGCTGGGGAGAGAAGGGAGGCAGACAACCGTCGAGATGGAATCGCTGCAGCGATGTGGACCGATTATCTTGCGGAGCGCGCACGTCGGGGGCTGCTGTAACTGTAGAATAGCCTGCTATACAGTTTTCATAGGGATCGAAGTTCAAAGTACTAGTACGTAGTACACAACAGTCTATCATGTAATTTGGTAAACGACAATGAATGTATCATGCATATCCACACAGCTGGCGCCGCTTCTGCTCCAACCAGGCACGTCTTGTCTGCTCATTTAATGAGCAGAAAAGGACCGCCTGGCTCTCATGATCCGCTAAATAGTTAGCGATAGCCAGCTGCTCTTCAACACTTTCAAAAAGATCGCTGTTAGCATATTGGTTGAGGAGGGCGATAGCCTGCACGAGCCCGGCCATTGAAACTTGCTGGGGTGGTGATGGTAACTGCTGGGGGGCTGACAGCCCCATGTTCTTCTGCATCTCACGAACTACAGTGACAAGATCCTTCATACTTTCCGCGCCTTCCTGCTGAACTTTCAGCGTTGCAGATGGAGGACGACTCCGTTTCGAGTGACTGGAGCCTGCAGCGCTTTCAGGAGAGAGTGCGCTATATTTGCGCTTTGCTCCACTAGTATCGCTGACACTTGTCCATGCTCCCACTGAGGAGCCAGCAGAGTGAGAAAGATAGGTGGATGGGACAGATGGTGAGATGGATTCCGGATCCATACCCTGACTTGAATTTGCACTGGCCAGTAAGCCTGTGTCTGGAGTGCGCATGGTGGTGAAATTACGGTTAGGGGTCTGGGGGACGATAAAGCCAGTGGTAGTAGATGTGGTGGGACTTGGTGTGGGATTCAAGTTGAGGGCGGCACTAGTACTGGTGGAATGGGGTCGGAAGACGTATTTGCCTTTTCCCTGACTAGAAACCAGCTGCTCCATAAGGGCGAGGTGGGAGAATCCTTTGTTCCTGAAGGGCTTTGCGGTGGGATGGTGCTGCCAAAAGAGATGACATTGAGTACATGTATTAGAGCTCCTTTGTACGATACTCACCTTGATGTATCTGACCCAGACGTCATCATCTTTCAATGCAATACCTGCCCCATTTTCATCACTCCATGTGAATCCCGATGTATTCTTGATATCAACTACAGCATTATACAATGTTTTCAACTAGAAAGATATTGCACTGATGTTAGTGCCAGCGCCGATAAGAAATTTGAGTTCTTTTATGTAAACATACCGATGTCCATTTGTTCTTGCACACTGTCCCAGTCTTTACTGCACCCCTTTGATCAGGGAATTTCTTCTTCAGATCTCCTGCTGCTGCATTGAAAGCAGGTGCCTTGAAGCCACCATCACCTGAGGAAGAAAGAGCGCCCAGAAGAGACTCAAGCAATGCTGTTTCCTCCTCCTTTGTCCAGATCGCAGCAGCCTTGCGGGATGTGCCAGTCCCCTCAGCTTTCTTATCAGCAGGACCTTGAGACCGAAGGGAGCGTGTAGAACCAGTACCAGACTTATCAGACATTGTGATGGAATTAGTGTGCCACTCGACACGGTGAACCTGAGGTTCACAGCTGGCTTACGTGTAGTGTCACATGATGGTCGAATTTTGAATTGAATTATAATATTCGCTGTCCAAACAGGACCTTAGTCTGGCACTTACTAGAGTACTACTACTAACTGACGTGTTTTTCTAGTACATTTTCTAGCGGACCGCAGGCTGGACTCGGACATTAAAAATGTGCAGTTCTCCTCCTCCAAAGATGACCCGACGGCTGCACATCGGCTCAGGTCATGGTGTGTTTCTTTAGTACTGTTACTGTTACTAATGATGAAGTTTTTCTCGCTAGTCATGCGAATATTGAGCACGAGACATGATATTAAATCCTTGTGATGACTTAGGTGTGTTTCCTTATTACTATTGGCCTTACGAATGATGAAGTTTTCTCTTGCTAGCCATGTGAATATCGCACAGTACACACATGATATAAAACCCTTGTGAGTCTGATCTAATTTGTTAGAGTCGCCTTCTCCTGCGTTCTTTCTTGCAGTCATGCCTCCTCGCACCGTCATCAGTCCCAAGAAGAAAAGGTCCAAGCGCAAAGGATCTGATGCTTCAAAGGCTGGCTTTCCCAAGAAGACTCGGGCTGCAGACGTTGCTGAAGTACCTGGCGCAGTACCTCTTGTATCCCTTGGCCTCACTGCAGCAGAAGTGGGAGACAATGCACCCTGGAGTTCTGGCCGCCCTAATGCTGGAACTGAAGGTAGGAACGCGCAGCTGGAGAAGATCGGATCAGCACTACAATCTAAGCCTTGAACCTATGGACATAAGGGCACGACGTCTCTTGGCCCTGACATTCCAGTCAATCCTCAAGCCCCAGAACCGCATCGTAAAGGTCGAAAGAAGTCTTTAAAGGTAAGCATCTAATTAATGTTGTTACTTACGTTGATTGGCCTGCAGGAGGTTCCTCCACCATATAGCTCACATCTAGATACCCATCCAGATGTCCCAGCCATGGATATCGTTCACACAGGGCCCAGCTTTACATCGCAGCAACCTGGTGGAAGGTTCGGATTTGCTACTCCAAGCACTACAGAAATCGCTCATTCTGATACTACCGAGCTCAATCTTCAGGCATCGAACGACCCATATGTTGCCATTAGGACAAAGGTCATTGAGCAGCGCGCTCCTGATGCTATTGCTGAGCAGAGAGCTAGGGATGCAATTGCTGAGCAGCGAGCTAGGGACGCAATTGCTGAGCAGCAAGCTAGGGATGCAATCGCGGAGCAGCGAGCTAGGGACACAATCACAGAGCAGCGAGCCAGGGATGCTATCGCTGAACGGTGTGTTGGTAGGGGTTGGCAGCTAGGGGCTTTCGGAGGTTTCGAGGGTCTTTCGGAGGTGCCAGGGGTCCTGTCCGGACCTCGAGGCACCTAGGTACATATACCTAGTGCCTGTCAGTAGATAGAGCTTGCTCATCCCATCAGCTTCTGTTTCCTTTGCTTGGTTTGATGCCACCGACTCAACGGCACGCCCAGAATGTTGTCCCTGAAAGTCCAGTATTGCCAAGGTCCGTGTTTTTGGAGCAGAACTTGGATCCAGCCCTACACCAGGAGGATGACGCTGTTAGGGCTCAGTATCGTTTGAGGCTGCTAGGATCCGAGGAGCACAGTGACTCCAAAGGCAGTAGCAGCAGTGATGATAGCGACGACAGCGACGATGAAGATGCCGATGAAGAGGACGACGGAAAGGATGAAGAGGAGGGCGATAACAACAACACGGTTAAGGGCTTGCAGGATTTTGGTTGGGGGGAGGTTGGCTGATGCCAGAAAGAACATCCAGGTAAATATTTCATAGTGATTTTTTTCTCTTCACTAATTCAATTTTGTAGGATTTTTAGAAGATGCACTACCTTCGCAACCTGCAGTCGCTCGTGCTCTCACACCTGAATTTGAATTCCAGTACTCGCATGATGAAGATGACGTGATTGCCCAAATGAGCCTTGATAAAACCTCAGTAAGTTTTCTAGTCTGGCCGAGACCAATTCTCATTTTAAATTGTTTGTTCAGTGGAACAAAAGCTCTAAGGTATGATCCAATCATTCAATTGTATCATGCTTACATTGCTTTTCTTTCAAGGGCCCTCCGGACGGCTCACCAGGACTGCAAGGGCAACGGTCCCAACACATGGAGGTAAGATCAGGGAGATCATCTTGATTGACACTCATGATTGAGCAGACCATTACCTCGAAGCCCGACGACGTATTGCAATGCCACCTTAAGAAAAATGGAAAGCCCCGCCTTCCTGAGCCTGAATCCCTCAAACTATTGGATCAAGTGACCGAGTCTAGTGTTCAGCCGTCGAAAAACAAAAAATCCAGGTCATCGCATGGTGGGCCAACGCCTGATCAATTATCTTGGTACGGGCCGTGCTAGAAAAGTTTTCTGGAGGATGCCAAAGCAGAATGTTGTGCGCAACACGCCCTGGAGAACCTGTTTCCAACTTTGGTGAAGAATCTACCAGGAACAATAACTGAAGTTCTTGTTGCAGTGTTGGTCATGTGGGATACAAATGGCAAACAATTTGAAGCTGGCAAGTACTCATTTGTTCTTATTCGTTCTTGAACTCATCTGTCATATTGTAATGCAGGGGTTTGGCCAGAGCAAAAATTCAATATGACTCGGTTGGTAGGTGTATAATTCATTTTGTGCTGATACCTCAATGACGGTCTATACTGAAAGCTGTACGACAATCTTTCAACTTGGCGATCTGACTTGAAGAAGACTGCCATAAGCACTGTACCAGTATCATATTCGCTTGTTCCTCCGTTTTCAGTCCCCGTTCAAGAACGTGCTGCTTGGATCGAACATGCTGCAGCTGAATTAATCAAAGGATCATTTTTCTTACGGTTTGGGGTGGATGAACAGGTAAGTGATCTGGTGCTGATTGCAATTGTACTAATGGAAGATTGCCAGGGGAGAACACGAAACTTCGCTCATCCTGCCCTTCATGAAACCGTCATCTCATTCTTCTACACAGGACCATACCGAATTGCGTGAAGGATGCTGGAGATCTTCCGCATGGAATTGCCGCTTTCATGTTTGGCTTTGGTTGCTGCAGCGGTAACTTTCTCTCCTTTACCAATATTGTATGTTAATTTTGCGTTTTCATTATTAGTTCAATTGTGTCCTCGACGGCCTTGTGAAGAATGGACACGGAAAGTCATACCCGAATTTTTCCATGAAGGACTACGGACCTATCTATCGTCGGATGCTGGAATTGCTCAAATGTATCCTCGAGGATGCATATCATGGGCCTAGGCTGTTAGCTCAACTGCAAGAATGGGCTGCAGCAGGATGGCAAGGATCTTGACTCCATGAGAATTTTCATACTGATTTTCATTTGTACAGGGCTGCAGCTATGAATCTTGAAGGAGTTGTTGAGGTGAGGCACGACCACCTGCAGATTCTTCTCGACTAATGTTCCGTCCTGTTTTATATCAACCGAGCATTTATCGTTTTAGCGCACCATATCATTGTATTCCCGATCGTGATCTAGTACCATCTGTCATAGTCATGTGATTCAATATGATTTTTGTTTTAAATTCTGTCCAGTGTAATGTAAGCAGTACAGTGAGCAATGTCTGTACAGCTCCGATTCTCTGGATGCGCTGTGAGTGTCTGTACAAAGATGGACAGCAAAAAAAATTGCAATTTAGGTAGAATTTCGTAATTACTGTGTGATCTGTGGGTGTCTGTACAGAGATCCACAGCGCAAAGTGTTACTGTGATGAACTGACTAATTGGGACCAAGCTGTAGCACATAATACAGTGACATATCTCCTTACTTACTGTCCAGCCCACCTTGACATTTCTGCCAAGTGACAAGGGCCAACCCACCTGGTGTTACGGACTAGGATAGTTCGAGTTCTCCTTAGGCGGATTGCCTAATCTGATAGCGGGCTCGCTATTGGAGAGACGGGGATCTTCTCTCGAATGAGAGGTTCGGGGGTTCCACTTAAGGTAGCGTCGGCTTTCCTTAAGGTGCGGCTTAGACTGAAGGACTGGGACTGTCTTTCAGAGGAAGTTCTGGATAAAACCTAGTAGAATCAAGTAGGGAATATACATGATTCTAGTCTGCTCTATATACTGTCGTCCGTGTGCACAGACCAATACTACGTTCGGTAGGTAGTTGTAAGTGTGTCTATACAAGGGCATCTTATCTGATGCCATGCGGTCGATTATCTATGCATGAGGCTTACCATGCCTCTCTTATCTGTCCTCAAGGCGTAACATGCCTTTGAGTCTAACTGCGCATGCTAAGGCATGCGGCTTGTCTTCTGACCATGAGGCAGAGCTTCCTCATGATCCGGGTCGAGGACCATCTAGGTCTGATCAGATGTAGCCTAGGCTGGTCTAGGTCATCTAACGGCATCCAGGCCGTTCTAGGCGTCTCTACGAGTCTCCGTTGAGTCGGTAAGTCTTCCAAGACGGTGCATATGGTGGGATAGGGGCTAAGGTCATGATGACCTCCGTAGGAGGGGTTCTCGGTTACATGTTATTGTAACACCTGGGCCCACATTATGATTGTAAGTCAGTGCCATGAAGTGGGCCCTTTGTTGTTGTGTACCCAATGGGTAAAATGAGGCCCATGGCTCATATTCATCGCCGGGTTGGGGTGGGCCCATGGGTCTCTGGATTGAAATACACTGTGCTTACAGGTGGGCCCATGGGTCTCTGGATTGGAATACATTATGCTTACAGGTGGGCCCAAGGTATAGCAGAAAAGAGGTTTCCTCAACAGTCTCGAGTGGGCCCACAGGTTTCGGGTGTCACTGGAATACTACCGCCGGTGATATTCTGGGCAGTGAAAGAAAACGAGACACGCCGGAGAATTAAAAAGTGAATGGCCGCCAACAAACATGATTGGCTGTTGCAGCCGGCAAACGCATGCGCAGATGCCGCCGGTAGGTCGGCGCTTTGCGTTCGTGATATGCCGTGGGTGGATGCCATCTCGGATTAATGTACGGCGATGGAATAGGATTACTGTAAGCAGCGATTACATTACATTCACACTGGGCATTGGCGGCTGCACACGGCGGTTGTTCATGGAATGCTGTCATGTGCTGACCAAAGAAACGGGCCCATTCATGCAATGCGAGATGGAGGGGTGGGCCGAGCAGAGAGCTATTGCAATACAGGTGGGCTTAGGCCACAAATGTTGGCTCTCGGGCGGGCCCTATCACAAATCGCTAGGATGGGCCCACAAAGGTTGTATGTATACTCACCAGTTGGGCCCACGACACCGCCGCGGGTGATGCAATCCGGCCCAGCCATGTACAACTGGATTGTTGGGTGGGCCCGAATAGCATTTATGTTTGGCATGGGCTCACTATCTGTATGTAAATGCAACTGTGGGCCTAGGGTTCGTGCCCTGTACAGTGGTGGGCCCAGGCCCAGTATGATACCAATCGGGTGGGCCCAAAACATTACAATTCCTGGCGCTCGGCGCGCCGTGCGGTGGCGCCATGATGCAATCAATTGGACTCATCACAGGTGTTCATCTCCGGCAAGAAGTAGTATAAATTTATCCATATGTATCTGGTACGCCCCTAGCTGCAATAGAATGCATCGGCAATGATTGACTTGTACTTGGAATAGTCACCTCGGGGAACATCAACAAATTTATGAACATCATCCCTCATGTACCACACCCAGCTAACTCTATCGCCGTTCACCCGGTCTACACCATGCCTAACAATTCTACCCGAAGTACCTATCATAACACCTGAATTGTAGGCAATTTCAATGCCAATATTTGGCAATTTCATTCGCGCCGGTCCATAATAGCCGACACTGGTTAATATATCAAACCATTCAGCAAGGGATTGAGAGTCTCTGTGCAGGGGTGAACGACGATTGCACATGACGGCGAGAACTGTAAACGATGACGCCCATTGTCTGAGGCAATTTGCCATGTCCTTGAATTGATTATTGTCGGCCCATAGGCCGAGGCCTAGCCGAGTTGTCAAAGACGACCAGTATAAGCCGCCATGCATGACTCTCAATGCAGCAGCAGCCAAGACCGCCGGCCGCTGGATGGCCTGACATAAAGTTAACCCATCTTGTTTAAGGGTCGCCGATACTTCAGGATAAAATTTTGGAGACTAGTGACATCAGCCAGTACTTCCGGGGATAAAATGCCGACGTACCGGATGTCCTTGAAGAAACCATCCTGGAGAAAGATTCACATATTACAGTGACCTATCTCCGTATAATACGAGGGAACGGACATGCATAATATCCCGTATGATACGGGCCAGCGGACCATGGGCCCATGATAAAAATATCCTCGACTATGACGGATGGGCCGGGAGGCAAATTATTCCCGATGGAGGCGGGTGGGCCCATGCAGGGAATATATAGAGTAGATGAGTGGGCCGATGTATATGAATATTAGGTAGACGGGTGGGCCGAGGTAGTTGGATATTATGCAGATGGGTGTATTAAGGTAGATGTGTATGAGATAGATGGGTAGGTACTTGTTATCACATTCACGGGTGGGCCCAGACACATATTAAATTAGACGGGTGGGCTGAGGGTATTATAAAATATTGTATTAGACGGGTAGGCCCAGACACATATTAATTAGACGGGTGGGCCGAGGGTGTTGTATGGGATGTTGTATTAGATGGGTGGGCCGAGGGTGGTATAAAATATAGATGGGTGGGCCCATGTGTATCATAATTGTAGACATGATGGAGCTGAGGTAGTTGTACATCAACCAAATCAGAGGAGGTAATAAATCAAAGTTACCGAGTTCCCGGAGCAGCAGGTGATCTCCTGACATGGCCTTTGATGGTGCACAGGTTGTCTTGCAGAATTTGGAATCCGGGGTGCAAAGCTTGTGTTGCCCTATGAGACACCAAGTTCCGACCACCCAAATTTGGGTCAACCGTACCGACTTCTGAGTTCCAGGACCCGGGAGTCGACAAATGAATATCTGATAACCAGCACACTTCCAATCAGGTAGTATTTCATTGAGCAATGGATCATCCAAGGGGTCCCTTATCGGACTCGGTAGTCAATATAGGCAAATGATAATGAAAACATGAAAGTTGTTATTATGCTATTTTTCAAACCCGAGACCCTGAAACCCATTGTTCAACATGTCCATTTTTCACTCACTGCACAAATCACCGAGTTTCGAGTGCTGAAACCCAAAACTCAAAACCCGGTGTGCAACACATCGATTGTTCATTTACATTACACAGATCATCGAGTTCCGAGTGTTGAGCGCCGAAACCCGAAAATATGTATGGAACATGTCCATTTCTTACTCATTGCACATATCACCGAGTTTCGAGTGCCGAAACCCGAAACTCGAAACCCAGTGTGCATCATGTCCATTGTTCAATTATATTACACAAGTCATCGAGTTCCGAGTTCCGAGGGACGAAATCCAAACCCCGGACCCCGAAAATATGTGCGCAACATGTCCATTTTTCACTCACTGCACAAATCACTGAGTTTCGAGTGCCAAAGCATGAAACTTGAAACCCAGTGTGCAACATGTTGATTTTTCATTTATATCGCACAAATAACCAAGTGCCAAGTGCCAAGTGCCGAAACCCGAAGCCCGAGACCCGAAAATATGTATGCAACATTTCCATTTTTCACTTGTTGCACAAATCACTGAGTTTCAAGTGCCGAAACCCGAAACTCAAAACCGGGTGTGCAATATGTTCATTGTTCATTTACATTACACAGATCATCGAGTTCCGAGTGCCGAGTGCCGAAACCCGAAGCCCGAGACCCGAAAATATGTACACAACATGTCCATTTTTCACTCACTGCACAAATCACCGAGTTTCGAGTGCCAAAGCGTGAAACTTGAAACCCAGTGTGCAACATGTTGATTTTTCATTTATATCACACAAATCATCGAGTTCCGAGTGCCGAGGGCCGAGACCCGAACCCCGAACCCCGAAAATATGTATGCAACATGTCCATTTTTCACTTGTTGCACAAATCACCGAGTTTCAAGTGCCAAAACCCAAAACTCAAAACCGGGTGTGCAACATGTCCATTTTTCAATTATATTACACAAGTCATTGAGTTCCGAGGGCCGAGGGCCGAAACCCGAACCCCGAACCCCGAAAATATGTACACAACATGTCCATTTTTCACTCATTGCACAAATCACCGAGTTTTGAGTGCCGAAACCCAAAACTCGAAACCCAGCATGCAACATGTCCATTTTTCATTTACATTACACAAATCATCGAGTTCCGAGTGCCGAGGGCCGAGACCCGAACCCCGAACCCCGAAAATATGTGCGCAACATGTCCATTTTTCACTTATTGCACAAATCACCGAGTTTTGAGTGCCAAAACCTGAAACTCGAAACCCGGTGTGCAACATGTCCATTTTTCAATTATATTACACAAGTCATTGAGTTCCGAGGGCCGAGGGCCGAAACCCGAACCCCGAACCCCGAAAATATGTGCACAACATGTCCATTTTTTGCTCACTGCACACAGTCCACAATTTCGGGGTTTTAAATCAACCTTTCATATATCCATACACATTTTACCAACCCCCGAACCCCGAAATTGTGGACTGCCGGGTTTCGGGGTTCGGGGGTCCCGGAACTCGGAACTCGGAACTCGGTATGTAAGACAACAAAAATATCTTTCGGGGTTCGGGGGTTAGTGAAATGTTTATAGATATATGTAGGTTAATTCAAACATGTCTGAAAATTTTCATTCGTCTCAAATGTCAAATCCTGAGTTCCGGGCTTCGGGACTTGGCACCCGGCACCGGCACTCGGGGTTCGGGGTTCGGCACTGAAAATTTGACATTCAGGTGTTCGGGTTTCGGGTGATATCTAAATCAACAGCTTCGAGTTCTGCCAAAGCGTGAAACTTAAAACCCAGTGTGCAACATGTTGATTTTTCATTTATATCACACAAATCATCGAGTTTCGAGTGCCGAGGGCTGAGACCCGAAGCCCGAGACCCGAAAATATGTATATAACATTTCCATTTTTCACTTGTTGCACAAATCACTGAGTTTCAAGTGCTGAAACCCAAAACTCGAAACCTGGTGTGCAACATGTTCATTGTTCATTTACATTACACAGATCATCGAGTTCTGAGTGCCGAGGGCCGAAACCCGAAGCCTGAAACCCAAAATCATGTACACAACATGTCCATTTTTCACTCATTGCACAAATCACCAAGTGTCGAGTGTCGAAACCTGAAACCCGGTACTTCAAATGGACACGAATTGTATTTGTATGTATTATCCATTGGTGTAGGGTTCAAATAACTTGGGAATTGTATTTGTCAGCACTCGGTACTCGGTACTCAGTGATTGGTGGTCAGTGGTCGGTACTCGAGACTCAGTAGTCAATATAGGCAAATGATAATGAAAAATGACAGTTGTAGTCCACGTCAAGGTGAGTGTCTTGGTAGTCTTTCCTTGTCATTCGGCAAAACATCAGCAATAATGAAAAAATGAAAGTTGTTATTATGCTTAACTTCCTTACCGAAGGTTGTAGTCCAAGTCCAGGTGAGTGTAGTGATAGTCTTTTCTTGTCAATTGGTTATCTTGTTACTCATTACGCAGTACTCGGTACATGGTAATTGGTACTCAGTATTTGGTTTTGATACTCGGTACCCGGGAATCAGTAGTCAGCTTAATGAAGGTTGTAGTCCGAGTCTAGGTGAGTTTATTTGTAGTCTTTTCTCGTCCATTGGTTACCATGTGACCGAGATATAAGCTAAAGAAATCCGAAACATCAATAATGACAAATGAAATACATGTGTGCAGTAAGTGAGTCTAAAGATAAAAGAATGAATATTAATAGCGAGACTTGCACATTATGTCGAGATATTCAACATAACAAGCCTGTGATGTGATCAGAGACCTGGAATAACACCCATATACATCCATTATAATAGCTTAAAAGCTTAGAAAGATTCATGAAGGATTGATGTAATGATAGGCAAAATGACATATGTGTGGAGAGTGACAATAGACATCTTTTATACAAAGTCACATTTATATATGATTCAGGCCAAAAATATCATTACAAATATGTAGGATAGATCGTAAACTACCCAAGGAACCCATACTGCCTACTGCCCTGAGGGTAGGGGGTGGGTAGAAGGGATATAGTGAAAATATGAGTTGACCCAGCATTAAAGTCCTACCACTGCTCAACTAACCATTTTCGATGCTTTGGGTCTTTGAAGTTTCCCACACTCAATTTCTTACCCATTTCACTTCCTCAGTACTCAATTCTTGGTTGATTTGTCTGTAAATTTATGTCTATGATACTTAAGATATTTGAAATGTACCCCAGGTTTCTGATTATGAAGATTCAATGTTTTGAAGGCATGGGCCCCTTATCAGGCGAAATGGCAAGTATACACACTAGCTCACAAACTCCAGCCTATTGTGAGCTGATCTTGGTCATAAGAAGCAAGAATATAAGCTATGCTCATTATATATTAAAAGGTTGGATCATGGATGCAAGGGCAAGATACTGAAAATCGTGAAAAAATATCACAAGTGCAATTGTCTATGCTTTGTTCCTGGAAAAGGATCCTGTGTGTCCTGGGCTGGTTATATGATATATCTACTCCGAATATGCTCAGGAATAGACTCCCTACAGTCCTTGAGGTCCAGTCCTACAGGGAAAAAACCCCAGCAGGTGAACCACCAGAAGAGGGGGAGGTACACTATACAATAAAGGATTACCCTATGGTCCTGAGCTCCTGATACATTGTTTCTATTGTTGAATAGATGATTGAGATACTATTCACCTAGAAATGAACACATAGGAACATATTTTGTATTTTTATGTATATATGCAATATCCATTCAAGCACCAAGTCTCAACTACCGATTACCAAGTCCCGACACTTGATAGTTGATAGTCAGTATTCGAGCTCCGAGTGCCAATATTGCCTACCAATATCTCAGTCAAATGATAACCAAACCAAGACCCAAGTTCCAAACCTGACTACTGAATACCAAGTATCAGTACTCGGGACTCGGGACTATTGGCTGGAGTACCCAACTATTGATTCACAGGTACCGAGAATTAGAACCAAGTACTGAGTACCTGACTACTGATTCTCGGGTACCAAGTATCAGAACCGAGTACCGAGTACCCCACTACTGATTCTCGGGTATCAAGTATCAGAACCAAATACCAAGTACTGATTCCCTTGTACCGAGTACCGAGTAACGAGATAACCAATTGACAAGAAAAAACTACCAATACACTCACCTTGGCTCGGACTACAACTTTTGTTCAGGAACTTAAACATAATAATAACTTTCATTTTTCATTATTGCCGATGTTTCAGATTTCTTTAGCTTATATCTCGGTTAAATGATAACTGATGGACAAGAAAAGACTACCAATACACTCCCCTAGACTCGGACTACAACCTTCGGTAAGGAAGTTAAGCGTAATAACAACTTTCATTTTTCATTACCATTTGCCTATATTGACTACCGACCAGTGGCTGAGTGCCGAAGCTTGAAACTTGAAATCGGTGGAAAATGAAATCTCGCAACAATGTACACATGAACATGTTTCATTTCCATAAACAATTCCCCGAGTGTCATGTACCGAGCCCCGAAACCCAAAGCCTGAAGCCCGGACTGTGTTGTCAGGTTAGTACAAGACACTCGGTGAATTGTCAAAGGAAATGAAACATTTTCATGTGTACATTGTCACGAGATTTTGTTTTCCACTGATTTCAAGTTCCAAGCTTCAGCACTCAGCATCCGGCACTCGGAACTCGGAACTCGGCGCTCGGAACTCAGAACTCAGTGAAATGTCTAAGGAAATAGAAATTTCACAATTCCCTGAGTTAGTACAAGACACTCAGTGAATTGTCAAAGGAAATAAAACATTTTCATGTGTACATTGTTGCAAGATTTCGTTTTCCACTGATTTCAAGTTTTGAGCTTCGGCACTCGGCACTCGGAGCTCGGAACTCGGCGCTCGGAACTTGGAATTCGGCGCCCGGACCTCGGAACTCAGTGAAATGTCCAAGGAAATAGAAATTTCACAATTCCCCGAGTGTCATGTACCGAGCCCTGAAGCCTGAAGCCGGGACTGTGTTGTCAGGTTAGTACAAGACACTCGGTGAATTGTCAAAGGAAATAAAACATCTTCATGTGTACATTGTTGCGAGATTTCATTTTCCACTGATTTCAAGTTTCAAGCTTCGGCACTAATTTGGAACTCGGGACTCGATTTTTGAGATGAAAGACATTTTTCAAACATGTTTGAATCAACCTTTCATATATCCATAAACATTTTACCAACTCCCGAACCCCGAAATTGTGGACTGCCGGGTCTCGGGGGTTGGGGGTCGGTGCTCGGGACTTGGGAAATTTGGGGAGATCAATAAAATTTGATCTACAATAAATTTGATTTACAAACAAATTGATTTACAAACTTTTGAAAGATATGTCGTCTCACATATCGAGTCCTGAGTTCCGGGACCCCCGAACCCCGAACCCCGAGACCCGGCAGTCCACAATTTCGGGGTTCGGGGGTGATCTACAATAAATTTGATTTACAAACAAATTGATTTACAAACTTTTGAAAGATATCTGTGTTGTCTCACATATTGAGTCCCGAGTTCCGGGACCCCCGAACCCCGAAATTGTGGACTGCCGGGTCTCGGGGGTCGGGGGTCGGCGCTCGGGACTTGGGAAATTTGGGGAGATCAATAAAATTTGATCTACAATAAATTTGATTTACAAACTTTTGAAAGATATCTGTGTTGTCTCACATATTGAGTCCCGAGTTCCGGGACCCCCGAACCCCGAAACCCGAGACCCGGCAGTCCACAATTTCGGGGTTTGGGGGTGGTAAAATGTCTATGGATATACAAAAGGTTGATTCAAACATGTTTGAAAGATGTCTTACCCGGAACTCGGGACTCGATTTTTGAGATGAAAGACATCTTTCAAACATGTTTGAATCAACCTTTCATATATCCATAAACATTTTACCAACCCCCGAACCCTGAAATTGTGGACTGCCGGGTCCCGGGTTTCGGGGTTCGGGGGTCCCGGAACTCGGAACTCGGTATGTGAGACAACAAAAATATATTTCAAACACGGGTAAGTCAATGTGTTTGTCAATCAACTTGATTGTAAATTATATTTTATTGATCTCCCCAAATTTCCCAAGTTCCGAGTTCCGAGCTCCGGGACCCCTGAACCCCGAAACCCGACACCCGGCAGTCCACAATTTCGGGGTTCGGGAGTTGGTAAAATGTGTATGGATAGATGAAAGGTTAATTTAAACATTTTTGAAAGATATCCCATATGAAATGTCAAGTCCCAAGTTTCGATTTCCGGGTTTCTGGAGTGCCGAGTCCCGAAGCCCGAAGTCCCGAAACCCGGAGTCCCGAAACCCGGAGTTCAAAACTCGGGACTTAACATTTCATATGGGACATCTTTCAAAAATGTTTAAATCAACCTTTCATCTATCCATACACATTTTACCAACTCCCGAACCCCGAAATTGTGGACTGCTGGGTTTCGGGGTTCGGGGGTCCCGGAGCTCGGAACTCAGAACTTGGGAAATTTGGGGAGATCAATAAAATATAATTTACAATCAAGTTGATTGACAAACACATTGACTTACCCGTGTTTGAAATATATTTTTGTTGTCTCACATACTGAGTTCCGAGTTCCGGGACCCCCGAACCCCGAAACCCGAGACCCGGCAGTCCACAATTTCGGGGTTCAGGGGTTGGTAAATCTCGGTTTGGGGTTTTGCACTGAAAATTTGACATTTATACATATCTAGGCTCACCCATATATGTACCCATCTATGTACAATTCCCCCACATCAGCCCACCCATCTATGTATTATCCCCCACGTCGGCCCACCCGTCTATGTAATACATCCTATGTTGGCCCACCCGTCTATATAATTATACCCCACCTCGGCCCACCTGTCTATGTAATAAATATTTTATCACACCCTCGGCCCACCCATCTATTTGATATCTCTTTCGTCGGCCCACCCGTATATGTAATACTTTTTATGTCGGCCCACCTGTATATGTAATACACCCCGCGTCAGCCCACCCATCTATGTAATATTCCCCTACCTCGGCCCACCCATATATGTAATACACCCCCGTCGGCCCGCCCGTCTATATAACAATATTTGCCTTACATCTCTCTTCAGCCCAGCTGTCTATAATATCCTACTCTACATATTACCCTGATGGGCCCACCCATCTCCATGAATGATCATATTCCCCCGGCCCATCCGTCAACATCAAGGATATATATATCATTGGCATACATGGGCCCACCCGTCTCCATCGGAAATAATATGTGTCCCGGCCCATCTGTCATCATCGAGAATATACACAACATGGGCCCATAATCCGCTGGCCCATCTCATACGGGATATTATGTAGGTCGGGTGGCCCGTATAATACGGAATTTGTCACTGAAGGGGCTCAAAGATTAATACAATCCAGAGTGAGGCCGTTTTCACTCGGACGAAAATTGCTCCCTTGAGTGCGCCATGTCTCCGTCTTGGCGGCAGTTCGGCTGACACTCTTTTCCAGATGATCCGACATCATCTTGGTCGCCACCATCATATCATTCTATGGAAGTCATTAAACATCATCGGCGGTCGGGGACCACTGACCTGTGTGGTTTCATTAATCGCTCCAGGGAGATACCATAGAACAATAAGGCCGAATTTGTCCAGAACAACAGCGGGCCGCTCCAGCAGAAGTTGATCAACCGGTGGAAATCGCTCCAGGAGCGACTGTTCGCGCTGAGGATTGATGCCGCTTTCTTGCATTTTCAACGCGTCTGAATACCGGACCATATCAAAATTAATGGTTACTAATGCCGACGGGAGTCAGAACTATCGGCGGACGGATGGCAAGGTCAAACCTGGATTAAGATATGCATCGGCGAGGTGCCGCGCAAGATGGGAGCAAGCCATAAGCAACACTACATCGAGCTCAGGGGGGGGGGAGGACTTTGGGCATGACTCCGACAATAGAACAAAACTGCCGGGAGACATAGTCGCTGGCTAGATGAGTGGTGGCCAATGCCAAATCAGCAGGAATGGGATTCATCGGTTGGGGGACGGAAACTGAATGTTTGCTGACTTTTATAACCAGGGCTTATCACAATATTGATCATGGGACGTAAGAAAGATACCAGTGCAACTGGTAATGAGGGACACATGCCCGAGCCACGCCGGTGCCAGGCGAATCACACACGTAATGACATATGGTCTCTACCACATACCGGAGATTGTGAGATAAGAAGGACAGCCATAAGGTCAGCACGGCGTTGGTCAAACAAGATGGCCCTAACAATTCAACGGAATTACAAATAGACACACTATTCGGACGAAAAGCTATCTAATTGCGCCGAAATGCGGAGGCCGATTCACCAAGATTCCCTGTGCTTTGAGAACTCCTTGTGACATGACTACCGGAAGGCCCTGAGGGTGCATGCATCCCAGAAGTGAGAGATGGGCCTGCAACTGTGGAGGGACCTGAGAGTGCATGCATGGTGCCCGGTAAACTCACACCCGCCGAAAGTGTGCCGGCCGATGGGCCGGCGGCCGTAGATGGTCCTGGGGTGAAGTTGAAGTACATCCTTTCCATGGCCTGCGCCTGGCCAACACTAAGGCCCTGATTATAGGGATGCTGGTGCTGGTGGGAAGGAGGAAAAAAGACAGCGTTATTGTAATGAGGAGGTATGGACGGAGTGGGGATCAAACATTGCCGAAGGGCCTCATAGGCATCTTGCAAAACAGCGGTGGTACTGCCCTGAGATGCCAATTTAACATCGGCTGCGCGGAGTTGATTCTCGTGTGTCCGAGATTCCTCATGCAAAGCGCGAACTTGCTCCTGCAGCACGGCGACATCGGCATGAAGTGTCTCTATACTGCGCATCTCGACATCTTGAGCGGCGACACGAATATTCAACACCTCAAGGGACTCGGCGGCGGCAGCATTCCGAGCACGGAGTTCGACGACCTGATTGCGAAGGTCATGGATGGTATTATACATTTCTTCGTGACCCTTCAAGACTGATGCAGAGTCTTGTCCGACCTCGAGTGTCATTGCCTGCAAGTCCTTTACCACGGTATCGGCCGGCACATCAATATCCATATGCTGTGTGTGAGATGGCGGCAGTTGCATATGCCGTGGCGGCGGGATTGAAGGGTGCATCACTGCCGGGGATGATTCTAACAATGGAGGCGAACCTGCGGAGACAGCGGTAATAGGGGGTAAAGACAGCCTCCTGGGGACAGCATTTTGTGAGCTCGCCATATTCATGTTGATGCTCTTCTACATGTTGTAAGAAGTAAGGCAAACATCTAGGATATGAATACCCACCGTTGGAACAACCAACTCATTGGCAACATCAGCGGTCGCTTCTGGCGATGGATCTTCGGTGCACTCCATTGATGGAGTGCGCCGATGGCTACTCTTGTGCTGCTTGCCTATGTTGAGTTTGCGATCAACAGTGGCCTACATAAACATCATAAGGGAGACATGAGCTAACAATCAAATTGTCCCTACCGGCAAAGGATGAGGTTGTTCAAACCAGGGCTTGCGTTGATCGCCGGTGTAAGCGGACACTGGCGGGCGGGTGGCCGATGGCGTGCGCCCAGTGAGCTGCTCATTCCAACTCGATTCCCTAGATCGTTTGCTCTTTAAAGGTGCAATACCATCGCCGTCCATAATATCCACCGGAGGAGGGACCTCTTTCCCCTTACCCTTTCGATCCATTACAACAGATTTCGTGTCATGGCTGCCGGTTGGTTGTGTTTGCTTTCTCCTTGGCATTGGCCGTTGCCTACCGGTCACGGTATTGGCTTGCACAATCTCCACCGGCGTGTCCCCATCGACATCTTCGGGCAGGGCGGTCTGCGTTCCCTTCCCTCTGCGATTGTCCGGTCCAATGTCATTAGTGGCGACTACATGCTCAATAATTTCAATCCCATCACTGTCAGAACTATCAACTACTGTCAATGTCTTCTTGCGCTTTGCCTTTGCCTTTGGTTTGGATTTAGGCGCCACCAGTGGTTCCGCCGGTGCATTTGCAATCATGTGCGTGGCCGTTTGCATCGGTGGATGTGATGACACAGATGGGTTAGAGGTTCCTATGAATGTGAGAGCCTTCTGATACAAAGGATGATTCCGAATTCACGGATCATCCGCCGCAATGTTTCGCCATACGGGCGGGCTTAGAAAGGATTGGCAAGTGGTTGGGTCCACATGATGATGCAACTCCATCGCCGCCGATAGCAAAAGCGGCGGAATCATGCTCGCCGATCGTCCATGTTGTTCAAATACCGGCGACTCATCGGAATTTAGTGCAATGATTTTCCTTTGTTGATATTGACCTGCTCACCAATATTTTTGCAAGGTCCATCGCCATTCTGAGATGGCCGCTGTGGCCATCTTTCCACTCCACAGCTTGAGCCACGAGTTCTTGCACTCGAGCGGCAGCATCATCAAGAGCTTTGTTGGAAACCTCTGTGGATGGCATGATATGCGGGCGGAAAGAAAGCAAAGGACCACAACAATAATTTTGACAATATATCAGAAAGGAAACAATTAAAATTTGAAGCTCCACATCGATCGGCTCGATACCCGGTGCCATGAGGCTTTAGAAGCACTTGCATAAGCCGTGTGCTTGGTTTCTCACGGACAACATTCATTGTTGTGTGCCATATATTATTCAAACTCAGCTGTGGGCCACACCACAGTTTGATGTTATTTAAGTTTCCATAGCTCGCCATCTCATTTCCATCTCACATTGATTTGCACCATTACTGAAATGACAAACCCAAACGACCGCCACGTCCATTTCGATATCCCGATGGACGACGAATCAGGGTCTCAAGCACCTTCGTCCAATGCCGGTGACAACCCAACTAGTAAGTCTTATACTTGGTCATTACGAAAGTTGATATCCTGATATCGGTCAGTGATGTATTTTGGGTTTGACACTCTGCCGGTACCTTCTAATACTGGCTCGGTGGCGGCGCCGTACCAAATGGATTTCGGGTTTACTACCCCACCTACGGCACCACCAGTGCCCCAACCCGTGTTCAACTTCGGGTTTAACCCCGGCACCGATCTGTCCCCAACGCCCCCTCCAGCGGCTCCGACGGCTCATGCATTGGCTGGCCCGCCTGCACAGCCGTACAAATTAAACTTTGGGTTTGAAGATCGGCAACCCACACCGCCAGTCCCTCAACCTGTATTCGACTTCGGGTTTTCTACCGTCAAGGAGGCGTCACCAACGCCTCAACCAGCAACTCCGGCGGTGTTGGACTTTGGCTGGAGAGCTTCAGTCGCCGGTGACGATCCAGTTGTCACACCCGTTGCCAAACCATTCAATTTCGGAATGGATTTGGATGTGAATCCACAACAGTCAGTCACACCGCCCGCCATTCTGATTGAGAACATGTCTTCGCCTCCGATGACAATGCCAGCATTCGACTTTGGCTGGACTCTTTCGCCGACATCTACACCGGCTCACCCAGTGCATGTCGGATATGATATTTCCAATAAACGTATGACCCCTTTTGAAACATTTCTTCGTCAGCCCATGTTAACCTCCATTTTTAGCATTTCCGTTCAATTGCCAAGTTCCTCCGGCAAAAGTAGGCGATTGGCAACCAATGCCAGTGAAGGCCGCCGCCCCGGTAAAGGCGGCCGACCCAGCCACTGCATTACCCGTCCCCGCTGAGGTGGCCGTGGCATATACGCCGATGGCACTCCCCAATGTGGGATTCCCGTTCCCGAAGAGAAGCTCGCCGAGCAGCTCCTCCGATACACCACAACCTCGGCCATCTCTTCAGCGTGTGATTACCAAAGCTGAGAAGACGGCGAAGAACATCATTGAACGCCTCCAAGGCGATGAATGTAAGCATCCCTTCTTACTCCCTGCCGAACTCAACTAATTTTTCACAGTCGATAAGCTTGCGCAGTTGATGCTGGGCAGCATTGTCAACCCCGGTGATGATGTCCGGCATCCCAAGCCCGACAAGGTCCTCGACAGCAACCGGGTCATAATATCGGCGTTCTGTGAGAGCAGAGATAAGTTGACTCGGATATTCAAAGATCTCATCCACCTGCATCACATGGCGGCGGTGCAGGCCAGAGTTGTTCCAATGGTGAACTCTCTCTCACAACAGGTGCAGAAAGCAGAGGGAAGATCTGACAGTGATGACTAGTTAAATATCATATACTTATATCACAATCACTTGTATATAGGTTTGCCACTCAGTGTTGTATATGCATGGGACCGGTGTTGTACCGGTCATAAAGTGATTTGATTGCTGGTATTCTACTGATTTGAGATATGATGATCACTTTTTGCCGTGTTTGCCCAAAGACACCTCCAGTGCAAATGTCTTGCTCCTAGTCCTCTTCGCCGGCGTATCTCTAACGGCCTCAGGAGCGCGGCGTTTGGATCCCCTGGGCTGATCATCGGCGGCATATGTGATCTCCTTGCTTCTCGTGACAGCAGCCAATGGTCTAGATGGCTGCTTCACGGCCTTCTTCTGAGGTCTGGCAGGCTCCTTGGTATCACCGAACCTGGCAGTCTCTGGTTTTGGTACGTCGCCGACTGCAGCCGGTGTCTGCCGTGCACTCCGCCGTGGAGGAGCGGCATTAGACTTGAGCTTGGGAGGTTTGTTGGTCTGGAGTGTGGCCTGCGGCGGCGGGGTCACATCATTTCGCCGGGCAGTGACAAGTGGTTCATCATCTTCACTGGATGAGTGACCATCATCGCCATATAACTCATCCTCCGAACTGCTGTCTTTGATGGTCCGGCGAGATTGTACAGCATTGCCTTTGTACTTCCCCTTTTGCTGGGTGGGTTGAGTGCAGTGGCCATTCATGGCAGTGTCCTTGGGTGCTGGATAAACAACTGCCTCACAGATTTCTCCATCAGAATCTCGCCACGCCGTGAAGAAAAATGCTGGTTGAATATTCTGTTCTTGCCGACCCCACCAGAAGCTTAGCAAAGCGCTTGCATCCGATATGTCCATTTTGGAGGGCTCCTTGAACTGCACGCCGGCGGGCCAGTTTGTGCCATCAAAGAACGCTGATGGGTCCTGACTTACATCTCCCCACGGCACGGCTGACTTGGCGGTGTCTTCCCCACCACACATCCCTATGTTTTGTGAGAATAATTTGTAACATGACATTGACACGGACATACGGTATAGCTTCGTGAGGAATGAATGAATCATGTGTTGTTGCTCAGCACGATTCCATCCCGTTGTATCGGGGAGCATCGGCCAATCATCGGCGTCCTCTTCGAGTTCGATCAGCTTCCAGGGCTGCCGCTTCTTTGACTTTACCATTTGTGGCTCCTCCCCATCCTCCGCATCTAAACTTATGTGAATATTTATTTGGCAAAATGGATAACCTTTATCTCACCGAATTGCTCCCCTGCATATTCCCCCCATTCCGGCATAAAAATGCTGTCCCAATCCCTGGTCTTGATGAAGCTCTCGCCGTTCCCAAACTGTTCGTTGAAGTCATGACTTTCCGCCAGTTAATGTTGATAGCCATGTCAGTAGTAGACTACACACCCTCCTAACATCAGCTTCCCTTTGCTGTTGTTCCATGCTGACAGTATGCAGACCCTCATTCCAGCTTGCTTGAACATTTCGGTGGCGAAATGCTCAATCATCTCGGTGCACTTGCTCTCGGCGAGCTCGGCCTGAACGTCAGGCGGCGCCGCCTGATTGTTCCATTTCTCCGCCGTTGCCGCCACCTGTTCTCTCTCCTCCGCCGACAAACCATCAATCACTACCTTCGCCACCCTTGGCCACTTGCTGATCATCTCCTCACTTCTGGCCATTTCCCCAGTCTCCTCTCGGATTAGCTGTTTATGAGTCTGGATGAAGACTTTCCTCGCCGTCCAACGTTTGCCATACTTGATGAGTGGCTTGGGATCTTTTTTCCGGCGAGATTGGTTTTGCAACCATTGCTTGTAAATCTTCAATGTACATTTAATCAACACTCCGATGGCTCTGATATGTTCAAGGTGTCACAAACCTTTTTGCGAGCTTTCAAAATGGCTCGGTCCTTGGTAGGAGCTTGCAGTGATGCTTCCTTGTAGATGGCGACGAGCACCCTTGATCTTTCTTTACCTTTCACTGACTTCCAGTCCTCTAGATGGTCCCTGAGGACCACAACCTCTGCCCTGTCTAAGTGAACCTTCTTCTGCTGTGAGAGGACAATAGGAGATTGAGTTCTTGGCATGTTGGATTATGGATGATAGTTATTCTGAATGGTTCAAGAATCACAAATCCTGTAGTTGGTTGATAACTTCATATGAGCCAGTAAGGTTTGGTTCCTCGGCCGAGATCCCACAGGGTTTCTCAGTTCTGCTCGGTTCACCATATATTACAGTTCATATTGGGCACTTGTCATATCTATCATTGTTGTGTTCAGTCAAGATGAAGTGGTGTTCCTTGTATCACAGCTAATATTATGGACTTCTGATGGATATGGTTGCTTTGTTCTCTTCGGATCATCTTATATTACATTCTAGGTCTTAGAATTATGTACTCCTATCTGATATGATCCGAGTATGATCAAATTAAGCCAAGTGTCATGTTCCATCGTCCGATTGAAACCTCTTGCCCTTCTTGCAGATTCTCATTGCAGTGAACAAATGAAAGGTTCCAGACTCCAAGAGTGGACACCCAAACAAAAGTATGCAGTGGTAGAATGGCAGAAATCATATCGGACCAGGAAGGTGGTGGGCAAATGGGTGGAGAGACCCATGATCAGCCAATCAGTTCCAGCAACCCCTACCAAGTCTGCTTCTAAGCAGCCGTCTCATAACATGCTTCACCATGGTGGAGATGACATTCTGGGGGAACTTGGTGATCACAGGGTGATTCCCCTAAGACTGCCAAAATCCTTGGTTAGCCTTCCCTCACCCTTACTTGTCATACTCTGCTGATCTGAACTCAAGAGTCAAAATGACTATATAAGACAATGGGTCCCGAAGACCAAAGCATATCTTGACATACTCCTACAGAGGGAGGTTCCATCAGATCGGTCATGTATCATCTGTGGGACAGATGGTGTCTATAAATGTCATGGGTGCTTCGGTGAGCCTCTCTATTGCACAAGTTATTGCAGAACCCAGCACCAGAGACTTCTCTTCCATCGGGTCAGCCAATGGACAGGCTCCTTCTTTGAGAAAAGTTGTTTGGTCAAGAGTGGGATTGTGATCTGGCTTGGCCATGATGGAAAGCCATGTCCGTGGGATGATGATGTAGGGGATTCTGGGGTGTTTACTACTGCGGAAGAGGAAGCCAACACCACAGACATGGAGAGTACATCAGAAGAAGACGGCACCACTCCATTTTCAAAGGACGCCGATGACCTCCCGACCGGCGTGCCATTTATCAAGGGCAACAGCTCAATGACAACAATAGTCGACAAGTCCGGCGTGCATACCCACATGGTGAAATATTGTACATGCCCCGGCACATAATTCAGTACTTTATTTTCGACTTAGTCGGACAGCCAAAGGTTGAGAATCGACCCAGTTAGGCGGGCCATCCAACGTGGGCCCATGTGTGCTTATGCACGGATAGGCCCAGAGTGTGGAATAGCGCCCATGCTAGCGGGTGGGCCAAGTGTGGATGCCATAGCATGAATGGGACAATTGTAATGGGCCACAAGGTACATGGGCCCAGTTATATATCTCGGAAGGGGGGTACGGATGGGCCTAGCTACTTATTCTTGGGGAAATTTGATGTCGGAAGAGCCAACAGGAAAATTTTGAGCCCATAATAGTATCAGGCATGGCTGGCGAATGGGCTCAGCTCGTATCGGAATAGCTTACGGATGAGCCCAGCTGGTTATTGACAGTATCGGAAGAGGGCACAAGTGAGCCGACCGGTCATTCCTGGGCCCATCACAATACTGGGAAGGGTTAGCGGATGGGCCAACTGGTTATTTTGGGCCCAGTAGATACCAATTTCGGCTCAGTACACAAGCATCCGGAAGGGCCCAATTGGTCCTCGCATTCAATATGCGGATCGGTCCGGCTGGTAAGGTTTAGGCCCAGTGCACCAATATCCGGAAGGCCCGAACTGGCCCAGCTCATGCACATTCACGCAGATCGGGGTGGGCCCCAATATGCAGGGAGGTCGGGCGGGCCTACCATGAAGGAATTTCTGGTAGTGATGGGCGAGCCATTAGTATATGGATGTGGTACTGATTTGGTAGGGGTCACGGATGGGCCCAGCAAGTTTTTTCGGCCCACCGGATATGCATATGATCCCGCCCGGAGGGGCAACATATAGTCCCATCTATTGTTCGGCCCAGTACATATGCCGGTGAAGGGTACAACAATTCAGATGGTGAGTCTGAACAATGTTGGGTCTTGCAGAACCTAGCTGCTATTCAACCCTAAAGGGTTTCTGGACCAGGCTCAAGGCTCAGAGAAGAGGAAATATGATAGAAACTTGCTGATCTCTCAGACTCATAGTAAAACTGGTGAAAGGTAACTTGATTATGTAAGCTAAGGTGCAAACATAACTATAGGTAAAACAGTCTCTACAAGCCCAGCCAGAAATGAATCCCTACACCGGGTAGTCTTGGATGGGCCTACGGATGGGCCCAAGAGAATATGCATTTGATCTCGGAAGGGCCGACTAAGCTGAATATTTGGCATGGGACTGCATTGTATTCTCGAAGGGCCAGCTAGTTATGTGGTCTGGCCCATGATAGGCATCTGATTTCGGAAGGGCCAACAGTTGCGCCCAGCAGGATATTCTTCGGCCTAGTACATGTGCAAATAATCTCGGAGCGGCTTCCGGATAAGTTCAGTGCAAGCGTTGGATCTCGGAAGGGCTCGGCTAGGGAATTATGGCCAAGTCAGCGCACTTGTGTCAGATACTAGTTTTACAGATGCAACTGGTGCAACAGAAACGAGTAATGAAATACGGGACAAAGTTCGATACGAATGCTGATCCGGATCCGACGTTGATATACATGTCGGAAGGATGCACCATACGTGTACCGTCCGCGATGATGCGCGGGGAATAACAGCCTGTCATGCGCGGTACAGGCAGATGTCGGCGGATGGGCCTAGAACTGAACCCCATCTCAGCCAACAGTGGGCAGGCTATCGTACACGGTACCGGCGGATGTCCCAGATGTAGACGGAACCAATACCTAGGTCCTCATCGACGACGGTTGGGCCTTCATATCTGAGACCGGCTGATGGCCCCAGAACTATGTCCCCAACAATGATGGGCGCGTCGTTGTATCCGTGACCGACTGACAGGTGCATCCTGTCTTATGCTCGGTAGGCTGTGGCACCCGGGCCCGACTGACGGCCCAAACCCATGGGACCAGATATCTTACGCATATTGGGCAACGGATGGGCTGTAATACCTACAGGTCATCGGAACCGAAGAAAATAGATCGCAATGGATCTCGAGACCATATTGGCAAAACATGCGCCGGTAGTCCAAGCGAACCCGTTCGGCGGGTGGTTCCGGGTCTCGCCGTAAATAGATCTTGCACTTGAATGCGTGACGGGGAGGTGTGGCAGAGTTCGCACACCCGCAGCCGCTGGGTCTGGTGCTGGTGATACAAGCTCTGGTTCCGTCGCCCTCGCAGCAATCGGATTGTCGAGGGATTTGCCGGATGGAAGAGCTGGCGGCATAACGGGGTCTGTTGCTGATAGGATATGTTGCAATTCACGGGATGTACGGAAGGGGGATCGTTGTACGGGAAAATGTCTGACAGCAGCCGGGTTCTATATCAACCCGTCGGTTATGGGCATTCCGACAACTGTGGAGAGTCATATGTGTGAACCGAGTGTAAGACAATTGTAGAGAACCACCACGGCTACCATAGGCTAAACTCTTGGGATCTACATCGGGAAAGGCCGATCTACCATTGCTTCCGGAATATCCTGTACGGCTCCGAGGTACCGTCCACTCTGAGATCATTTTATCGCTGTATCCGCTGAGGATGAGGCCATGTATTCCATTTATGTACAGTAGAATCCTCACTGAGACTTGTGAGAAGGCGTGTGTCATCGGCAATCATCGAATTGGCTAGCTACAATACAACAGATACTAATCTATGTCGCCATTCTCCCAAAGTCATTGTATGTGAGCTTTATAATGAAAAAACAGACTGGTATTAAGCAAATGCAACAAATGATAAATGACTCAAATGACCATCAGCGACCCTTCACTTAATATACGGCGGCGCTTTGCAGCTGGCTCCCGAACATCTTGCTCAGGATGAAATAGATAATTCAGCATATCCAAATCATACTCCGCCACAATCTTCTGCCCATCCCACACACCGTCAGGCCGTCGAATATCCTTCCGATTGACATACATCGGATAATGTGTCTTCTGGATCGGTCCGGCCCAATCGAAATCAAGCAGCATGAAGTGTTTGTCGTCCCGCACAACGAAATTGGTATCTCGGAGGTCGCCATGAACGTAGCCGTCATTGTGATTGTGTAACTCCCGGATGAGAGTGGTGATGGTCTCCTTCAGCGGCTGACGGTCCAAAACACCTATCTCACTGAGCAGTCGATATGAGCCAGGTCGTTGCGGAAGGCAATCATTATCAATATCAAGGGCATCCATAATCACCAGATTCCAGCCGCCGGGTAAAGAATTGTAGGCGATAAGTTTGGGGGCGTTCCCCTTGCTGGCACAGAATTCGTGAGCCTGAGGGGAATAGTTCCTGACAAACTTGATGCATATCTTGCTCCCAGCTGCATTGCCGACGGTTTCTCCAAAGAAAATAAGTCGATCCCTGAGGATTTGAGTCTCATCATACCGGAATTCCTGAATGAAACCGGTGGAATTTGTATAACTCCGAGGGTAAGGACATTTAAGATACGGATCCTCGGGTTCGAGGGACGGGATTGGACGGGAGTATAGTTTTGTAAGTTTCTCGACGGCAATTTTGAGAGCCCCGAAAGTACGAGCTGCCATCACTTGCATGTGGAGGTCTGTTGAATGCCAAAACAAAGGAATGATAGGGACCAGGACATCGGACTGGACTTTTTCAGTGAAAACAGAGCCTGAAAAGCCGATGCATGCCCCTATTTGTGATCAATAAAAAGCTTCAGCAAATAATCTGGTGAAATGAACTAACCGAAGACAATGATATGGATGCATGGAATGAAAGACCGGAGCCTCGCCATCTCAATCTTCGAGTCCTCCATAAACTTGCGGTAGTACAGCATCGCCTCCATAAATGGTTCGGCAGCGCCGCTTCCGATCTCGTTCTTCCCCTCAATTATCATCAGCACAAACTGTCCGTTGGTAGACAAAAGATGTCCGTCCGTCGTACATCCGGTCGAGCCAACCATAGAAGCGTTGAGTATAATACCGTAGTCCCGGAGCACTTGCCGGAATGTATTCATCCGTGTGAGCTCATTGGGATAGAAGGCGGCCATCTTTTCTGAAAGTTGCAAAACAAAGTCGTTATCATGGACAGTTGGTTCATATTTTTGACAATCATCCACGAACTCGGCGAAGATAGGCTCGAGAAGAGTAATGGGAACAGGGTCCGCGGCTCTGCGAGGACGATTGCAAAGGTACTCTTGTTGGTCCTGCTTCGTAGAGAATGCAGATGGTTTTGCACCGGCCGACGGAGTACCCGCGCCCTTCTTGAGATAAGCGATTCGCCTATCAACAGCCGGAATGTGTCGTGCAATGGCAGGATGTTTTACGACGATATGAATACATCCGCGCTCTATTCCATCCGCAAACACATCGGACAGCTCGGTTAACGGGCGCAGCTTGATGCCTCCGTCCATGATCGAGTTCCGTAACTGTATATCGTTCAAATTGATCTTGACCTTCCAAAATATCAGATTATTAACATTCAACCGTAGGCATCAGATCACTCACCTTCCATAGCTCAAGACGGTCGGCGGCAACATGGTCAAACTCTGGCTTCTTGGCGACCTTGATAACATTTTTGAGGTCACCGACAGTCTTCGTCCGCTCAACGTCGACTGGGAAAATATGGCGAGGATCATCGCCGAAGACAATACAGTTGAGTTTCAGGCGGAGCGGTCCGGAAGACACTAAGTCGGACCACCATCAGTGAGGAAAGGGTGGCAATATTGAAGGACAACTCACCGGCAGGCGGGCATTGGATAATTATATGCAGATACTTGCGCGGAGGAGCGTCGGGAAAAATCTCTACCATTTCATCCACAGGTGATAGGGATTTCATTGGGTCAAGTGTAAGATTGTTGAGATTGTGCTCAATCATCTCGTCGATAGGCAGGTCGACCTTCCAAAATATCAGATTATCAACATCCGATCCTAGGCATCAGATCACTCACCTTCCATAACTCAAGACGGTCAGTGGCAACATGGTCAAACTCCGGCCTTTTCTTGTCTTTGATGACCTCTTTGAGGTCGCCGCCAATCTCCGTCCGCTCAATATCGACCGGGAAAATACGGCGAGGATTATCGCCCAAGACAATACAGTTGAGTTTCAGGTGGAGCGGTCCAGACATCTGACGTTGACAACAAGAGTGATAGTGTCTCGAGCGGTGACTGCAGTGAGCGCTCACTGCTGCAGCAACAATGCACTTACAAAGCCAAGCAGCAACACCCCGTGACCGGGAAATTGATTTTCTGTGAGAATACACTGTGCCTGGGAAATTTCGTCCCTTTCCGGGTATCCGATACACCATTTATGGGTGAGAAGTGGATTAAGGCCTGTTGCGGTGCATGTGTTGTCGCAATCAGAGGTAGTTTATTTATCTTGCATGCACCGCAACAAGCCTTAATCCACTTCTCACCCATAAATGGTGCATAGGATACCCGGAAATGGGAAAAATGGTCTATGACGAAATTTTCTAGGCAAAGGAGGCCTTAATCCACTTCTCACCCATAAATGGTGCATCGGATACCCGGAAAGGGGTAAACCGGGCTATGACGAAATTTCCATAGGCAAAGTAGGCCTCAATCCACTTCTCACCCATAAATGGTGCATCGGATACCCGGACAGCCGTACAGGATCTTCCAGAAGGAATGGTGGATAGGCCCACCAGATATGCATATGATCCCGGCCGGAGATGCGATGTATGGTTCCATTTTCGTGCAGCCCAAATGTATTGATCTCGGCAGTGCGTACGGGAAGGCCCAGCTGGTTATTGTTCGGCCCAGCACAAATGCTGGGTTGTCTTGGATGGGCTTACCGATGGGCCCAGCTTGGGCCCAGCTGGTGATTGTTCGGCCCAAGAAAATGTGTTTGGTCTCACGAGTTATTGTTTCTGACCCATGGTAGGCTTACATGATATCGAAAGGGCTGACGGTTGGGCCCGGCTGGTGATTTTGGCCCAAGAGAATATGTGTTTGGTCTTGGAAGGGCCGACCAATAAGAATGTACGGCTTGCACAGTACATGTGACCTCGGAAGGGCCGGCGAGTGATTGTGTCTGGCCCAAGATAGGCATCAAATGATCTTGGAAGGGCCAACTAACAAGAATAATGAATTGGACGGTACATGTGACCTCGGAAGGGCCGGCGAGTTATTGCTTCTGGCCCATGATAGGCCTACATGATCTTAGAAGGACAGATGGTTGGGCACTGCTGGTAATTTGTGGCCCAAGAGAATGTATTTGGTCTCGGAAGGGCCGATCAATAAGAATATGGGGTATGGACTGTGCATTTGGTCTTGGAGGGCAAGCGAGTTATTGCTTCTGGCCCATGAGAGACATACACAATCTCGGAAAGGCTGACGGTTGGGCCCAGCGGGATGTTCTTCATACATGTGCAAGTGCAGGAATTTCCTGATAGGCCCAGTAGGATTTTTCTCCGGCCCAGTATTGGTGTTTCATCTCGTGAGTTCGGGAAGGGCTCGGCTAGGGATTGTCGGCTGTCGGTGCACATGTAGTCACGGATACTGGTTATCCTCAACTGGCTTACACAAGTGGCCGGCGAGAGTGCATCTACGGATTGTCGGAATGAGTGACGGATGGGCCCACTCAATTTGCGTTTGGTCCAGAGTACCGAAAGGGCCTACAGGATATGCCCAACAGGTCAGGAATGTCTGGCGAGTGATGTTTGAGTCTATAGAGTGTCTTACTAATCGGCCCAAAGAGTGAAGCATTAAATCTCGGAAAGGCTCATGAGTGCCCGGTACTTGCATATCTGATTTCGGAAGGGGCGACCGATATTACGGTGACACGGATAGCATGCGGTCTCCGAAGGTGGCATGGTGAACGTTTATAGGGCTGCGTCTTGGACAGAGTTGAAATTAGGACTAAATGAAGATGTCAGACCCGCACAAGTTGCACAGCAATGCAAATCCGATAAGCAGGTGATGACCGGACGGCCGATCAGCTGGAGACGCCTGGTTCCGGAAGATGGTATGATAATAGACAGTCATATATGTACTTTATTGATACACCTCTTGGAGGGATGCACCGTGCATGTAGCATCGGTGATGCACCCACGACCGCATGGACTATGTACACCGGATTATCATGCCATTGGCTGTCACAGTTTCATGTGAGCATCATGAAATTGAAGCATTCCCTCACCACAGATCACAACATATTGAGGGGAACAACAATGTGGTTCTCATCTAACAAATACAGAGAGCGAGAACCGGAATACAAGGGAAAGTGACCGGGAACAGCAAGAAAGAATAGCTAAAAGTACACTATATATGGTATTGGAGACTAGTTTGTTCTACATATACCGGAGGTGGCGACATCGCTCTCTACCGGGCATCGGAGGCATTGAGGCGTTGCTCCAGTGCGTTCAACCACTGGTGGAGGATATTTTCCACCGAACGCACTCTTATCTCCAAGGCATCCACACGGTCATTGGTGGCAAAGAGATCCAGTCTCTTGCTGAGGTCCCGGATTCCCTGTAGGATGTCCCTTGCAGTTGGCTCGGGATCGGCGATGTTGGCTGGCGCGGGCTGATCATCCTGTTCCGGCCGAGGGCTTGTACCAACGGTTGGGAGTTTGCACATGGGCACACCAGCCGGCGGACCAGGCTGTTGCTTCTCCTCTACGAGTCATCTGGATTGGTTTCAAGATCCTCGCCGGATTTGAAAGCAAACTCACCTTCAACTATAGCCGTGGCGGCCTTCGCTTGCATTCTCTGCCTGACACCGACGCCGTCGATCGCACACGTAATCTTCATCTGGTCGCAATTTGCGCATGCGAGTCGAATGTAGCCGAACTTTTTGTCCGGAAGGACAATGCAGGGTATGTCCAATTTTGTGCACTTGTCGCACTGCCGAGGATGGTAATGAACGGAATGCTTGACATATGTTAGCCATGGACTCCTGTGAATGTACTGACAGACTTACCTGGCACGGAGTGGCGATGTGAGCATCTGAGCCCCATTCTGCAGGCTTTGAAATTGGTCAGCATACCAGCGCTATAGATAAGTGCAGATCACATACCCGAGTGTCTGCGTCCCAGAAAGCCTTTTCATCGCCTGGCGGAACAACCTTGTCAGTGGTGACGGTCAGTAATGTCTGCAGCGGTAAGTCATTGGATGCATGAACCAAGATCAACAGACATACCTTTGGCTTCACATTGATGATTCCTGTTGGCCTATTGTCGACATTCTGGTTCAACTTCCTCTTCTTCTTCATCGGCTCTTGGGACGTGGAAGCCAACTTGGCTTCAATTACATCGGCCCCATCGGTATCTTCATCATCTGCCTTTCTCTTCTTGCTATCGCCGGCCTCGAAAAGTGCCTTCCATTGTTCCCTCTCAGCTTCGGCCACGTACAGGTGGCGGTATCTCAAGGGTGGATGTGCCGGACGACTGAGAGGTGGCAGGTTCTTGAGCACTCGTGGGCGGGAAGATCGTTTTCGTTCCGCTACCGGCCTGGCGACCATATCCAGGTCCGTGCGGGATGGATTCTTGCGTGCTCGTATGCGCGATGATCGTCTCGGTTCCGCCACCGGCTTGGCGACGAGATCCAGGTCTGTGCGGGATGGCAGGGAAGGGAGAGCTGAGGGTGGGAATGGCGGGACAATGAGAGCTGAAGTGGTTGCGGGAATGGTTGTGGGAATGCTTGATGTTGCAATGACGGGGACATCAAGCGCAGAGGGTGGGTGATAGTGGACGGTCTTCTGGAATCGCGGGTGGTCCTTGATTCGTGGGTCATCGTCAGTAACAGAGGTCCAGTCTGGGACACTCTGAAAGGCGCCGCCCCTTGAGTACTGCCAGATAATGGCGGCACAGGAGAGTAGCAGAGGAGAGAATGATGTTGCTGTTCCCGCGTAAAGTTTCAAGTCTCTTGCCTGTATCAAATGACAAATGTTAGTTTGACAAAAAGCATTTTGAGGGGAACATCAGATACACTCACCACGCGCCTGGCTATCTCATCCGATAGCTTCAAGGCCTCGGGATCGCCCTCCTTCACCTTGATGCATCGCTTCATGAGCGATTGCACGACGGCCAGTGTGACTTTCAATGCGTCGTTAGCTGCTTCTGGAGGTACGGACATGATGGATTTGTCAACAAAATACGGTGGTGCAGAGGGAAATGAATACAGTAGATATCAAAAGTTGATTTTGGGAGATTCCGACAAGGCTGGATTTTATCGATCCGGTTGTGAGTGTTACTGGAAAGTGATGGATTGTGGATTGTGGATTGGAAATTTGTGGTCTCAGTCTTGTATCCATGAGAGGTCCGACAATTGTTTGACGCAATGTTACGTAATAATCTGTCCACCACTCCCCGGATGAATGAATCCGAATGTGGTAACGGTTATAACGGTTCAACATGATTGCTCTAACATTGCATTCATCTGGCGCTGGAGCGAGAATCAAACATTTGGCTCCTGCCGGTAAAGCATTCTTTATTCCATCTGTGTATACTGTGCAAGTAGGTCTACCCATCAAACTTCTACACTACATAACACAAGATTGTGAGTAATATCGGGCGTCTAGCACCACATATTTGCAACCGAACTCTGTAATGATATATCAATGCCGATCCGGATTTGACGTTCATATTCATGCTGACGGCATGGGTCTGCCGGGCCCTGCTATAAGCACAAGATTGTCATAATCATTACCATTCTCTAAATATAGGGCGACATGCCAGCGGCTTGTGATACTTATGTTCCGGATGCTGGTATAGCTAATAGATGGATATGTGCCTCACAGCATGCAACCGAATAATATCAGATCCTGATCTGACGTGAATATTCATGTCGGATGAATACGCAGTACATATAGCATCCGCTGGGCCGTAGTCGGGAGTGACAAACCTTGCATTCATGCGTGTGCCACAAGCGCAAGAACCATCCGAACCAGAGCATTATGCCGTTGGATATATCACACCTTGATACTCAGACGACTTAGTTCTGGAACACTAACACAATATTCAAATTGATCTTCCTGGCCCAGGCTAACTATTAACGTCACACACCTTCCAATACAGGATCCCATTTAATATCGTCGGTATGTAGGAGCACCAAATGAATGCAATCAAAACTAAGTAAAGACATGACATCATCACTGTCCATCAAGATCCAATAATAAGTATTTAATCATCGGATATCGTTGAGAGATCGCTAGAGGTGTCTGGCGATACATCCGCTGCCGGGACCATGGAATCAACGGTTTCCGTAATGAGCACAGCAGATGCTGAGGTACCGACATGCCCTTGAACACCCGTCATCATGGACGCATCCCACGCATGAGTCCACTGTCGGCCGATTGCTGAGATGTGCGGGTCTTCGTCACTCTGAGCGAGCCAGGCCGGCAGGTGTGCATTTGCATGACTTGGGGGGGCATAAGCGGTAGTGTTGATCCGGGAACGATGTGCAGTAAGATCATCTTTATGATCCCGAAGAGCAATGGTTAAATGGCCAACAGAAGCTGACATTGCTCTCCATTCTGTATCAGATGAATTGAGACGTTGCTCAAGTGCATTCAATCGCCGCCCAAAGACATCTTCCACCGAACCGAGTCTTGCATCCAACTCATCGACCCTTTCGCTGGTGGCGAGAAGATCAAGCCGCCTTCCAAGGTCCTGGATGCTCTGGAGGATATCCCTCGCAGTTGGCTCGGGCTGCGCGGGATTGACTGCTCGCGGCGTTTCCGCCTCGGCTTGCACCGATGGGCGCATCGTAGGCATCGGTTGAACCTCTGTGTGAACCGGTGGAATATCAATAGACATTGGGTTAGCATCCGGTGCGGAGTCTTGATAAGTTTCAGTTCAAGTACCAACTGTGGAATGAAAATATTCACCTCCGTGTTCAATGTTGTTAGGCTCAACATCCAAAGAGGACAGCGCCGGCGGTATCAAGATCTGCCGGGACCGGGTATTGACCGGAGTATTGTTCACAACTCGGGACTTGGGGGCACGTGACTTAGATCGTCTGACAGGGTGGGCGTCACCTGCCGCTGTGGCCTTTGCCTTTGCCTTTGCCTGCATTCTTTCTCGGACGCTGACTCCGTTGATCGCACATGTGATCTTCATATCATCGCAATTAGCGCAGGCAAGTCGAATGCATCCGAACTTCTTATCCGGGAGGACAAGACAGGCCACACCCAATTTGGTGCACTTGTCGCATTTCTGTGGGTGATGACGAACGGAATACTTCAAACATCTTAGCGTCAATGAGATTTCATGCAAATAATAATAAGGTTACCTTCACTGCCGTGGCGATAGCAGAGTCCTGGCCCCATTCAACAGGCTGATAAACATCCGAGTCAACATCTGCAGTTTGCCCAATAAAAACACTTACCCTGCTTTCTGCATCCCAGAAACCTCTATCATCTGTGCCTTCCGAGTGATGCGAATGTGCCGATGCCAAATCCTCTTCGGTGATGCTCTGTGATGGTACCACCTTAGGGAATATAGTCATGTGGTGGGTCAGCTATGCCGAACGAAAGACGCGGAACTCACCTGCATCAGAACTGGGTTGGTAGTTTCATTGTCTTCATCAGCCGATATTACCCTTTTCCTCTTCGGAACAGACTTCCGTGACCGGGAAGTCGAGTTGTCAACTAATTTAGCCTCTACCGGTTGGTCATCTTCCGCCCGTCTCTTCTTACCATTGCCGCCCTTTGGAATTGCATTCACCGCATTCTTAATGCCTGGCACAAAAAGGTTGTATTTCAGCGGGATTGGAGCTGACACAGGAAGGGGGGTCAGAGGTTCCAATGCCTTTGAGAATGGGGACGGTGACAATGGCGACAGTTCTATTGCCGGTGCGGCGGATATGCTCGAACGGTCTATGTCACCGGGAGGAGGGACCGAAGTAGATGCAGCCGCGACGGGTGGTGTTGTCAATGAGACCAGTGCCGAAGTTCCAGAGGAGGAGGAAGAGGAGGATATTCTTGTTATTGCTGTTGGAGTCTGAGCGTCAGGAAGATCAGGACTCTCAATGCCGACGATAGGTCGGTAATTGATTGTCTTGTTGAACCGCGGGTGACCCTTAATTCTCGGATCCTTGTCAGTAACAGACCCCCAATCCGGCGAAGTCTGAAAGACGCCACCCTTTGAGCAGTCTCTCACAACGGCTGCACATGACAATAGTTCCGGGGACAACGAAGTTGCAATCCCTGCATGACGCTTCAAGTCATTTGCCTTTGTCAAAGGTGTTCATATTAATGAAAGTAATAACATTGTAGCAACAAACTACACTCACAAGCCGTCTGGCGATCTCATCCGATAGTTTTAATGCCTCTGGATCGCCTTGCCGCAACATCATGCACCGCTTCATCAACAATTGCACAGCCGCCAGTGTTTCATTCAAAGCCTCGTTAGCTGTGTCCGCAGGTGTCATGGCGATGTTAAAACTTTGTTGTAGGGTAACGGGTGAGATAGTATACGGAAGGGACAGAAAGGTGACTTTGAAAAATTTGCACACGGGTCGGGATTTATATCCAGACGTCGGTTTGTGGCTCTTCCCGAGTGTCGTGCAATGTGAAGAACATGGATATGATGACGTAAGATCATGACAGCGTCCACCATTGTTCAAAGGTCCACAGTTGCGACACGGTGCCACTCGTCGGATTGTTTGTTTATCCTCCTCGAATCTTTTTCAAACCAAACCATGATGATACCAAGAAAAGTTCGGTTTGTTATTCCCGAACAGCCATATATTGGCAGTACCCCCTCCATGTTCTCCATATATGGGAGCAATGTCGACAGAGACAGTCTGGCAGCGCTACGCCTTCCTCTGGACAAAGATCCCATCGCCTGGTGGGGTGCATATGTACCATTAGAGTCATGGACTCCTCCTAAGCTGAGAAAATCAAAGTTCAAAGGAGTAGTTGGATTGGCGGACTATCCACATTTTAAAAGTAAGCATGCCCCATTCTGAGCCGGTATACTAACAAACTTGCAACAACAGAATATAACTTGGAGAATGAATTTCCAGCCGGCTATGAAAACACAGATGACCCCATCGCAAAAAGAGATCAAGGTAAGCTGATGGTGTCCATACTCCTGAATTTCACTCACCAGATGTTGTGACTTAGCATACGAGCTGTGCTTCAATGGCCACTGGGACGAAATCAGAAGCATGCTGTCCGGTGAGCCTCCCATTTATTTCGATCGACTTTGCTTTTCTAAACGTCTAAAGATATGTATCTTCTGGAAAGCATGCGGACCTCTGACATTACGGTACACATGGTCTCACCACCGGGATTCACTGCCGACATCACCGGAAGAAACGACCGGGATCCGCAGGACCTTGCATGGGATAATCCGAGTTCGGAGGGGTCGCCGAAGGATCCATATGCCAGCCAATGGGGCCATCCTAGCCATGATGTAGGCATCGCCGGTTCAAGTGAATCGATGGCCGATGCCTACAATTGTGGATGGGACAATCCAATGCATGATGAAATTATCACACTCCCGGGTAAGTCCAGGGACGATCTGTATGATTGTGGATGGGATGACCCGATGGATCATCAATTGATCATGGAATCCGGTGAGTCACCCGCTGATGCCTATGACTGTGGCTGGGATGATCCAAAAGATCATCACATCATATCCACCGATGACTCTGTGGAGGATCAATACGACTGCGGATGGGGTGATCCGATGGATACCGACAAGCCATCCACAGCGGTGATGGCAGAACAGCACTGTGGGGATGTAAACCCATCGGTGGCCGAGGATTTGTATGATTGCGGATGGGATGCAGTAGGTAAGTCGTACTCTACACGTCTGCATGATGACTTTTGAAGCAGTGCAGGTATGCCCGGCAGGCATGCAGGAAATGAACACAATGTCTTCCAACATGCGGAACATTCTATGCGACATGCCATCAGAAGCCTATGCAGTATTTGGCATGAGGATGGTGAGTATCCCTTATGTGGCATTTCTCACGATTAACAAAATGGGCAGCAAATTCTTACCTGAACAACATACTGCCAACCGACGAGGTTGACCGAGACCAGACGCCAGCAGTGACGCAGACGGCAAACCGAAATGTTCTGGGGACATACGCGGACGCAGTGATCAAAGTGACAGAACTAAGTGAGGACGTTGCAACCATTCACCATTTCCTTAATGTACAGCGTCGGATCATGGACCAACTGGACAACATGATTGCAATTTGTGAAAGGGATGGCCGGGCTACATGAATAGGCGTGCCATGCCGGGTGACGGTACAAGTAGAGATTGTAATTGTAATTATATCGACTGCCGAGAGTGACCTGGCCAATGAAGAACTTGTATAAGCGCACTGACAACGTATCCGGGTAATGTTCATTGCTGGGTCGATGCCAAACAGTTGCATATATTCCCCTATATAAACGCAATTGACCGGCTGTGGCCAATTGCCATGTCGGATGAACGTGTTCCATCGAACTAAGCTCCCGGATCAATGATTGTGAGTCGACCTACATTACAATCAATGCAGTATCTACATCAGATAGCCGCTCAAACATCAGCCTATGGATCATGCCCCGGCAACAACGTAGTAACTAAAGAATCAATAACCAACCGAGGCTAAGAAAGCAATGTAAGAACTACCGACATGATCATGATCGGTATCGAACAAAATCAGCCTGATTATATCTAGCGAGGTGGTATGTGGCAAAGTCGGCCAGGCTGTATTTTGCGAACTCTGTACGTGGGGTTCCGGCATAGTTGTGCACACTGTCCCGCATAAACCATGCCCACACAATTCTGTCACCATCTCCCACCCGGACACCGTGCCTCACAAGCCAGCCAGAATAACTTACCATGACTCCCGGATTGTATAACAAATCGATGCCTAAGTTTGTCAAATTCATCACCGCATGTTTATAGCTTCCTATGCAAGTGAGAATGTCAAATCCTTCTGGAGGACATTTGGGATCACGATGACCGGGGGATTGCCTGTTACAAACAATTGAAGCGCCGGAATATGCTGACGCCCAATGCTGGAGACAGCGGTACATCTGATCTTCACCATGCGCTGCGGCCCACTGCCCGAGCGCCACGTGAGTGGACATTGATGCCCGGTAAAGTTGTGGGTGCATGACCCGAAGGGCAGCCGATGACAAGAGAGCCGGACGCTGCATATCTATAATCGATGACAGGCCGCTATCGCCCTTCAAGGCGGCAGAGACTTCCGGAATAAACCCATCCAACGGATTCTGCGGCGGCCGGCCTTGACACTGCCTGTGTTCAGTACTCAATGATTTGGGCAAGCTGGGTCTCACCTCATGCCCCTGTTGAAACCAGCAAGGCGAAAGATTGATACACCCGGGTATCAGACCGGGTTCTTTTGATGGGTGAAAGTACGAAGTGTTTGTCCTCCATTTCGTCGTCTTTCCGGTCGATGTCTTGCTGGTGGTCATGCTTTGTTGTAACAGCTTGCCCATACCGACTGTGGCAGTAAACATATCACGCTTTTTGTTGTCGGTCAGTGTGATCGGACATCTCTGCGTGCCTAAGCTCACCTGCAGGGACCAGTTCAGTGCACCCGGCAGATACCAAAGTATAATTCTGCAACCAGCGTCGATTACAACCGATGGGCAATCCAACAGAATGCGGTCGGCGGGAGGGAACTTTGCCAACAAAGCTTCTTCACGAGCATCATTCAGTCCCGACTCTCGTTTGGTCAATGCCTCATTGTACCGGATGATATCGATATCCAGTTTGACTTCACATGTCAGGATAATTATATAACGATATAGCGCTGAACGCACTGGGATGCTGATACGCCTCTGCAAGCACAAATGCAAGTTGTCCACATGCCAGCATTGTTTCCGGATCAAGTTCCGGAGGAGCAGGAACAAGGGGTCTGCCAGCAACATGAGCCGCGAACTGTTGCTCCACCCATTCGCTAGCTATGTCGACAGCATTGAGAGCCCAATCCTGCGGAATGAATGATGTTGGGTGAGTGTCGAGATCAAGGGCAGCCAGTTTCTCATGGTAGGCCGCCCAATACTCATGGGATATCATGATGTAGACAAAGGGTATGGTGTGTCAGCAAGGGTTGCGTCTTAAGTGAATATTTGCCGAGCAGCCTCCTAGCTTATGATGTAACAAACCTAGCGGCAGCAATGATATACACGTAATATCAAAACGCTCTAGTGTCCGGCAACACCATTTGTCATCAAATTGTACAACACAGGTATCTACCGGACATAACTCATGTAATATGTACATATACCAGACTCATCTGCTAAATATGTCGATTTACTTCCGTAACTATTGGACATTGCGGCTGCATTCATTTGCGCACAAAGGGATGCAATTCAGGAAATGGATCTCCGCGGGTAGATGTTCCGATCCGGCCATTGTTATAATCTTCCGCCAAGACGTCCACTGCCGCTTGAGAGGCAGCCATGGCGTCATAAACCTCGTCGAGAGGCTGTTCAAGACGGTTCATTGCATCAACCGCCGCTCCCGTGGCTTCGAGTTTCGCAACCAGCATTTGTCCGAGGTCTAGACCTAGCCGGGCGACTTCAGTCCGTAGAACATGAAGTTGTTGAATGAGCGGATTATCCAGTCGCGGATGAGTAATCGGTTCCGGTAGGAGCAAACCTAAGGCTGGCTAATGGTGTGTCAATGCAATTACAATTTGGACAAGACTGAACATCACTTACCCGCTGTTTGAAGTGATCGGCTGTGAGCTCGTTCACCTCAGCTACTGAGAGCCGGAGAGGCATCTGCATAGGCGTGAAATGAAATGTGGTTCCCCACCAGCAGTAGCGGTAGCGCGGAACAACCCGATATTGAGCCACCGCATCACCATCCTTGTTGTGCGGACAGTCCCGGAATCTCGCAAAGAGTGTTCGATGGTTTCGGTCTTCCGTTTGAAAATCTGTTATGTGGAGCAGGACATTGCTGAGATAGACTGGCATGCTGCTATTGATGTTCATCGCCGCGCACTTGCTGACGAAAGGTATCACGAAACGCTGTAAGTCCGTATCAGTAGAGTGGTTTCATGATTTGACATGGAATTACCTCTGCCTCCCAGATGAGGTGTTGAACAAACGAGTACTGATAGGAACCTGTTGGGTTTGGCTCCGCCAGCTGCGCGAGATGAATAGCGGTGAATCTGGAGGTGGCGTATTCAAATATATGGGCTGCATCCCAGACTGAGAATGAGCCGGCGACAGACTCGTAGAGTGAGCGAGTTTGGTCAGTCATGGTGAGTGGTAATAGGAGAACTGCGATGAAACCGGTCCTGGACACATTGTTTATATGTGTTGTCGGAGCTTGAAACCACAAATCCGATAATGTGGCTCATATTCCGGGATGTCTATGAATGCAACAAAAAACATAATGTAGCTATTTATAACCGTTACTCTGATTCACAAAATAAACCACACTCTCGGCAATTAAACAATGACCTTGAACATCGGATTTGCTTTGAGAAAGCTTGTACGTGCATGTTTGGCCAATTGGTGGTACATGTGGGCCTGCCGAATTGCGTAACATTTGTGGCCTTCTGGCAGTGGATCGCCGTTGCGAGTGATACGTGACAGCCACATACCTGCCTTGTGGAGGAAAAACTGTAAGGTCCAACACATTTCATATTCGATGAGCAATTGTTCTTCCAACCATCGGTCGCACAAAGCCTTTGCCCGAAGCCAATGGACCCTATAGACTATGTTCGGTTATTGTTCGGTCATGATGATCTTCAGACAGTCACTCACATTCGTTCATCCAATCATTGCTAATGGAATCACCTTGTACATCAAGAGACCAGAACCACGGAAGGGTGGAGTTTCTCTGTCCCCGGGCGTTCGGATCGGCGACTGCAGCGCTTGCCTTCAAATGACTCTTCTCCATCCGAAGATATTTTTCCAATAGAGCATGAGCTTGTAGATTGCTAAGTTGCGCCCGGCATTTTGAATAAATCATACTTTGCAGTCTGATGACCCTTTCCACCGAATGAACCTGCGTCCATGCTCTGGTGACCTTGGCCTGAGATTTTGCCGGATGGACGGTGGTGCGGAAGAGCACAGCCTTGTCGGCTAGAAGTACTCTGATTGCTTGCAGGGTGTCGTTAGCCTGCCCTTCCCAAAGTGCAATTTCCTGACCAACTAGGTGGCCTACGCCTAACTCCGTGCATCTATGGATGCCGATGTTGGATGGAAGAGGTATCATGACATTCTCGGGGCGGAAGACCATGCATCGCGGATCTTCATGGGAATCATGTTCACTGTCGGTAACAGCGTCCACTTCTTGCTCTGAATCATCAATGAATTCAACCTCCATATCTCTGATGTCGTCATCCAGATCGAAGTCCTCTCCGAGATGATTGACTGCAGCAATCGTAAATTCATCAATCCGGCTTTGCAACTTTGTCCGGCGTCTCCCTATCTCCAAGTGCTGCGTTTCGGTGGGATGTTTTCCCAACCTCCTGATGTCCATCAACAAAGATATCTGCAGCTCTTCGATTGTGGTCCCGGATGCGATCCATGTGGCGGCACCCCGTTGCGCGTTCCCACCTCCACGGCCAACACGAGCCAGCAAGGCCAGCTCTTGTTGTTTCCGCGTCGGTGCTATTCACATCCGATTGGTCATTTAGTTCGGAAGCACAGTCGGCGTGACACACCCTTTTGTAGCTGCACGTCAAAAACATCCATCGCCGAAGGATCTGCCAGTCTCCGTATTTGTGCTTGTCGATCCTGCTCTTCCCATTTTTCAACTATGGTCGGATCGGCGGCATCATGAAGCTTTTGAAATGCTGCCGTGCTTTCGGAAACTCCCTTGACAGCCTCTCGATATTTCCGACATAGAAAACCACCTGGAGATCATGAGCATCAATCATTGAGCGATGAATGGGAGTCCTAACTCATTCTTATCATTTTCATGAAATTAGAGTCGTTTATTTGGTAGTCGAGACATTCTTGTCGGTGCGGGGTTGACATCCCTCTCGCAGAAGGAGATATAATATTTAATGGTGCCCATAATGTCTCCATAATCTCCCCATCTATTCTGGCTGCTCCTGTAATAAAGGTTGATGCATACCTCACATAGCACTTGTCCTGATGGCCATGGACATGCCACAGTCCTATTCCCGGTACGATCTCCATACCGGCAGGGATGCTCATGTATGGACTTTCATTTACCCTACGCCGGAAATGCTTGTTATACTGGCAGTTGATGTCATAGAATGTTAAGGCTCGTGTGAGTCCATTGGTGTGATGGCTCAAAGCATGACAAAGAGCGTAGTCCATATTCATTTGTCTGATTAATGACGTCAAGGAGGATACAGCCAGTGACATCGGTTACCGTACCTTTCCCCTTTCTGGAAATCAACAATGGAATGAGGCACAAAACAGCCATGTCGAGCGCATGCACAACCACCAATTCCTGTAGCTTCCAGTTTGTGTCGGGAAGCATTTGCTTGATTCACAGCCCGGTGGTTGTTGCACTCTGACATTTGAACATGTTCGTTGGCGCCGGCTAGATGGGCCTTGTATTTGTCTCGGGTCACCATGAAGCACAGGCCATCGGTCAACCATACTTCATCTTCCGGACGAGTAGGATGCAAATGTTCTGCTTTGAAATTACCATCCATGACCAGAGATCTCGCATATATCCATTCCGGATCATCGCTGTGTCTTTCGGCCGGCTGCGGCGCATTTATGCCGGGTTGAGGGCACGCTGGGCAAAAAAGAGCAAGTTCACCTGATTCCGGTTGTTTTCTGTCGTGAGCGAAGCCGTTCCATTTCAGCAGTTTTAGTTGACGCCATTGCCGTCCCACCCGCATCAATTCCCTGTAGCGGTCCTGTTTTGATGTTAATTCATACATGGATGACCAGGCAGCACCTTGCACATACCGGGACTGAGTGGGGAAATATGCTAGATGTCATTCTCCTCAATTTACTGTAGTAATTCATAGCTGATGTTCCGCATTCTAAGTTATCGAGCAGAAAGCCGTCCAGTACAGAAAACATGAATGCTGACTTCGGCCGACTGAAAGATGCTGGAAACATGCCTATCGCAAATAACTGCTTGTCCAGGGTACATGCATTTGGGCATTTACAATACCGGATTATCAGGGAATGGACGCCGGATTTGTCAACCACGGTTGTGCATTCCTTGCCGTGAAGGAAAGGCAACTCCGGTATAGCTGAGCGATCATAGGAAGGTTCATACACAGGCTCGTCCATGTCCTCCCACTCATGTGCATTTTCCAGAACCGGACACGGCAGCCCATCATGCCCGAGATGAATTTCCAATTCTATCTTGGTTAATGATGTTTCTTCAAAAAAGCTCCCGTTCCATTTGCTAATCTTGTGAAATGGCAATCGCCTGTGCTCATGTCGACAGCATTTGGCGCAAATTATAGGATCACCGAGGCAATCATGACACCGATACACCACCGAATTTACACCGCATAATGAGCAAGACTTGTTTGTGGGCGGTGCCTCCCGTTCTAAGAGGAGGCGAAGGTAATCATCCTTCCGAGGTATCCATTCACGGAGATAATCGTTTGGGCTCTGGGAGCCTGGTCAGCTTTGGCAGGATGGCAAACACATTGCTCACCTTCGTCTTTCTTTTCCTTAGCCAGACGTTCAGCGGACCAATGGGGTCATGACCACTCCAGTCTGCATGATGGGAATTGAAGTCCGGTGTAAATTGAGGGTTTGTAAGATTCAAAGTTTGTTTGGCGGGAGACTTTGTTGGGGATGATTGGGCAGACTGACTTGGCTGGGGTCGTTTGACCGGACACCATTTCCCTTTCCGGCCCCGAGTAGTGTCTTTTACTTTCCATTCGACTAGCTGAACTGGTCTTCGTGGAGCCAACACCCTCACTCTTGATTTGCCCATGAACTTGGTATGAAGTTGTGTGAATTAAGATGCATAATACATTGTAGACACATAATAGCCAATACCCCTCGCTTACTAGCCGAAATGAAAGGAGGGCAAATAACTTACTGCACATATTTTACATTCACTGACAATCCCACGCAAACACACACTATCACTAAATTCCATTGCTATCCTCTTAAGTCCATAATGACTGACCACGACTCTGCCTCTGAATCTGACACCAGGAAGCAGCCTCCGTTGAGTCAGGAGGAGGTTACAATCCTAGAGTCCTACATTGAGCAATGGGACTCAGCTGAGCCATCGGAACGAAAGAGGGTCTCCAAAGCAGCTGCAACCGAGGCTCGGACGAAGGCTCCAGTGATGTCTATAAGACTACTGAAGGATCGGAAAGTGGTGAGCCTCTCATCATCATCATCATCATCATCATCATCATCACCGTCGTCGTCGTCGTAGTCACGAGAAAACCAGCTAAAATATCACACAGGCCTATGAGGCATGGTTCCGAAGCCAAGGGACAAAGAGGAAGCCATCGAAACCTCCTATCAAGATAGGGCAGAAATGGACTGAACGAAGTGTGGTAGACACGCTCCGGAAAAAGGAACTGTTAGAAAAAATTCAGGACGAGACTGGAGCCAAGCCTGGTACAAAAGAGATGATCAACCACTACACCAAGCAGCTTAACCAGCTCATTGCATCCTTGTCACCGGATGAGCTCCAAGAAGCCAAAGAGACGGCTGAATTATGGAACCGTCAAGGTGTTCCGGACGACGTCAAGGCCGACATTGCTAGGAAAAAAGGCGATGATATGATTCATCATTTCGCAACCAAGATGTGGAACCGTGCGGGAATGAGGGTCTTCATTGTATCTGCCTGGAAAAATGAGGAGGGTAAGATCCATGTCGCCGGGTGAGTGATCCGATCCTTTCGCCATGTCTCCTCTCACATTTCCGACAGTCACGACTATAACAATGAATATGGCGGTGCAGACTCTTTCATGAAGACTCATAACTGGGATACCATTTTGCCGGAATGGGATTCCTATGCCGAGAGCGCATTCGGTAACGACCTTTATATGATGCCTGAAGATTCACACTGACACAAAACAGACGGTAACTTGGACGGCGATGCTGTTGTCACCAGGAAGAAGGGTCGACAGGACAAGACTTATATTCTTCAGCTGGGCGATGACGGATATCCCGTGCTCCCTGCATGCAATTCTGTGGATCTAGATACGAAGAAAGCGGTGATCCGGGCATTTTTAACATGGCATTATAGTAGGTCGACGTCTCTCCCGCTCTGAGGGTTATCTGAATGTTGGTAGGGAAATGTTGTGGAGATCCAAAAATTGCCATTCCATGGAAGTATGTGATACCCAGATACACCGAGATCATACCTGCGGAATGTCTTCCCGAAGGCCACAGTCTTGCAGAGCCATCGAAGCTAAAGCAGGTTCATGCCACTCAGCTGCTACAATTCTGGTACAACCGACAAGAGGATGGCGAAGCGCACGTATTGGAATTCATTGGTTGGTGGGATAATGATAAGGAGGATATGGTGCTGGCAGCCGACATTGATGTACCAGTGAGGAAGCCAACAGCAACAACCCGACAACCCAAGCAGAGGTCGCAGTCCCGGAACCGGATCCAGGAGCAACCTGAACAGCAGTCTACCAAAGAAATATCAGCATCGCGTCCAACTACCAAGAAAATGCAGAGTTCCAAAACAACTCAAAGAAAGGGAGCTAGCTTGCCACATCATTCACGGAAGGGTAGAGGACCTGAGTCATCTGCCGATGAAGTCAACGACCAACCAATCACCACTGCTGAGTCTGTTGACGGATTGGACGACTCCGAGGATGAGATTCCGAGTCAGCACAAAGCGACCAAGTCTACAGGGAAGAGCAGGCGCCGGGTATCCATGAGTAGCAGCAATGACACAAGCAGCGATGATGAGCAACCCGGAAAGTTTGTCGACACCGGCAAAAGAACCAATAAGGATGTTCCTGCATCTCCTAGCACGCCCGCTACAGTAAATATCCGGCCCAACAAGATGAGGACAGCGGTAGAACGCCTGCAGAATGCTGTCCGCAAGCGTGGCAGGAAAGGCGTCGGGCTTGAATCTTCTGCAACAGCCGCAGAACGCACAGCCAGTGCACCCGGGGTACAGGTCAAACGGCCTGCACAGGTGGTCAATACTGCTGATGTTATCCCAGCAAAAACCCGAGTTCACAAAAGGACTGCCGAAGAATGATTGGAAAGGTCTCCCACAAAACGGACGAGGCGTCAAGCGGCAATGGAACAGGACAAGGGAATTGCGAGACAGGCTGGTAAAATGGCAGGGAAGAAACAAGTTACTGAACAGGCTACCGATGGGTCTCCCTCGAAACGGACCAGGAGCAAAACGTCACAAACCGGTGCGGGTAAACGTGCCCGGAAGCCCAACTCTCGGTACAACGATTATGTAAAACCTTGATTGATGTGGGTCTCTTTTTGGGAGGAGGGAGAGAGGGGCGCGGGTGTCTCTTCCGATAGCTTTCACTGACGGACCACAATCTGGTCACGACAAATGGACTTTGTGATATATCTTTGAAGTCATTCTATCGGTCGGGCATATGTCGTGTATATTCTACACATTTTTCATGATGGGAGGTAATACAAATTAGATTGCATAGGGAACTATAGTCATAGCATACTATCCCCCTGCTGCTCCACTCTGGTTATCATCGCATCTAGCGGGTACATGATCCGGCGGTGAATATTAAGTAAACGATGTATGTTTATGACATCAGCCCCGAGGTTAGTTACCCGATCTCTTGCCTCGGCATATGCACCAAACAAATGCCGGTTGGCCATGAAAGTGAGCCCTGGTCGTGAGTCATATACAAGTCCATCCCCTGGTGCGACAATGTTGCGAACATATCTATCGACTGTCCGACACGAAAGTCAGCCGGAATCGGAGTGGAAATGCAAAAAACTCACAGTCACTATGTCCTATGCTGTTGAGCCGTCGGATCGCGCGACGCATGGACTCTCCTGCCTCTTGGAATGCGTTGGGTTCGGTTGGAGACATGGATCTCTCTGCAACCACCAGAATTAGAACATATAGAGAAAGTGAAAATGACATACCTGAATTGGCTGATGTAGACGTCAGCACAAGGGCATTCGTGTCCTTACCGAATGTCCGGTCCACCGATCGGTTGACTGATGTGGACGTAAGGTCTAAGACATCCGTCTCCTCATCGAATGTCCGGTCCATCGATCGGCTGGGTGATTCAGAGGTGAGGTCAATGACATCCCTCTCATCGAATATCCGGTCCACCGATCGGCTGGGTGATTCAGACGTAAGGTCAATGACATCCGTGTCCATATAGAATGTCTTGTCCACCGATAGCCGCATGGTAGTTGGTCCCTCCATCGGATCTTCCCACCCACAGTCGTATGGATCGTCTGCAGGGTCTCCCGGCATAATATCATCTTCCGGAGCTGTGGCATCCTGCCATCCGCAATCGTACGGATCGGCCATAGAAGCTATGTCTGCGGGGTCGCTGTCGTCCATAGGATCATCCCATCCAACATCGTAAGGATCATTTGCCGGTGCAGCAGATGTGATCATCTCGCCCTTGGAAGATGATGAATCGGCCACAATATCTATGGAGTCCTGTAAGACCGATCCCTGGCAGTACACCGGTCACTTACCTGCATTAGCTTTGATATCTTCACACGCCCGGTCAGCTCAGATATCGCTTTGTAAATGACCCACGCACTTTCATCCGTTGCTTGGACGGCCGTAGCAGTCACGATATCACCCCATCCACAGTCATATGGATCTTCGGTCGATGACTCGTTCGGGGGCACCGTCTCGTTGATGATCAGAGCATCCATAACACATAACATGTTGTCGCTAAGACGGTAGGACAATTCGGTCGGATGTTCTATGATGTTTTGTGAATTGACGGTGTTTCCTGGGACCCGGTGAGTACTTACCTCCGTTTGATCTTACATCCGTTAATACTACCAATGGGTCAGTTATGATATCTGAACGCAAATAATATACTTACTTTGCTCTAACGGCATGATTGTTTCCTGGGATGTCACATTCATGTCATCCTCCCATCCGCAATCGTACGGATCCATCGGCGACGATACTTCAGGTGAAACTGAAGCATTTGAAACGGTATCATCCCATCCACAATCATAGGGATGATACGTCGGGAGCGTTGATTCGACATCTTGATCGAAGGAGTGAGTTCCTGCGGTCAATTGTACCGGATCTTCTGTTGGGTTCAAATTAATCAGCTCCATGGCGAGTGCCAGGCTGTAGCTTACCTTCCGGTCTTGTACAGCCTAATCCGGTGAGTTAGTTTTGTTTTATAAGAAAATGAAGCAAAGCACCTTCTGCCGATGTTTGGACGGCTGGTGACACGCCAACGACCCCCATTGATGGGGAACACCGGGCTGTCAAAAAGTTGGGTGTGCGGAGCAACTCTACAACATACATGTCTATTACGAAGTGTGAGATCAACGGTGTTCGGCTTTAATATGGCACTCACCTGACAGCATGCTTGTGACTTCATCAAAGTCGCCATTAAAACATCGCTCGTAATCTACGGGACAAGGTTGATTCAGCGATGCCAGTATCCAGGTAACGACTTACTTTTCTCTCTCTTTCCTAAAGAATCAACCCGATATTCATAGCTATGGGGTAACTCGGAACGTAATTTATATACTGCCAAAGAAATGTTTTGATCATTACCGGCTGATAGGGGTTAAATGGTGAACTTGCATTTATATATCGGATAAGATTCCAATCCGACGATTCCTTGGAATCTTGGAATGCTATCCGGTTTTGGAGGAACCCACGACTCTAAAGGGACATACTTGCCCCACCAATCTATGGGGTCCTCGGGCAATGCAGGGCGTGGCTCCACCGGGGAGTCATTCGATACAACATCATTTGATACAACACCATGATCTTGAGTGGGATTAGAACTGAACATGATGCTAGTCCATATGTCACCAGCATCTGGAGGGAGTGAGTCGCCAGCCTCCGAAGAGACTGGAGTGACAACACGAACGCGTCTCTCAGACATGAATGTTTGTGTGAAAATGAATCCGAGAAGGCGACGAGGTGCCAAGATATACCTTCAATGATTTGTGGACCACCGACTGTGGAAACCAAATACGTGGGACAATGATCGGTGAAATCCTTCTATTACATGATTATTATATGATATTGGTCCATGCTGCCGTTCTACGTTCGCCACAAGGTCTCGGAAACACCCACAACCGACAAATTGGTATTGATCCCGACATTCGTAAAATTTCTCAGAGTCATTCCTCTTTCCCTTCCGCATAGCATTACCCTAACTTACCAACATCTTTCACATACTCCTATGATACCTTCCGAAGAAGCAAACGCTGCCCTCAATGATACTTTGACAGATGTTCAATCCCTCATCAAACGATGTATGAAGTTAAAAGAAGGCGATTCAGTGACAGCGTTGGCATTGTCGGATGAGATTGCGAGGCGCTTGGTACGTCCGGTTACCGTTGATTGTCCAGTTAATTTTGGATTGCGGACATCATTTGTTTCAGGCAAAAGATTTAAAACTCTATGGAGGGAGCGCAACATCGTTCTCTCCACAGCTGCTGTCATGCACAGCGGTCGTACGGCAGTACACTAAAGGTGGCATGTTTACATCGTCGCCGGACTGGACAACCGTCGGCGACAATGACCCACGCATCAAGGATCATCCACGTTTCCAGAAGACTATACATTATCGAGCTCCTACCGGTTCTGAAAAGACGGAACATGAACTTGCCTCTCTCGCCCAGACGGATGTACCACAAGCTGTCGTATCATTTCCATCACTTGACGGTCCGGAAGGCAGTCCCAGGGCTGATATCCAGACTCCTGTAAAGCTTCTCCCCAGCACGGAGAAACCTCAACATGCGAATTCCTTGGAAACTGTTGGTGCTGCGGCACCTCATTCTCCCCCGCTAACTTTAACGAAGGCCTCGGAACCGATCACGGCTCTGCCCATGTCAACGGCGCCCGCGAGGACGCCGGAGAAGACTGTTTTGACCCCCCCGCCAACTTTAACAAAGACCATGGAACAGCTCATTCCGGTGCCCACATCAATGGCGCCAGCGAGGACGCCGGAGACGACTGTGCTGACTCCCTCACCAACTTTCACAAAGGCCTTAGAACCTCTCACTCCTCTGCCCATATCAATTGCGCCCGCGAAGTCACCGGAGCAGTCTGTTGTGACTTGGGACTCAAAGACACGGGAGCAGACTCACAGACAACATCGTAATGATAAAAAAAGGCAAGTGGAAGATGATGTCGCCGACGAAACGGATATCATACATAGGCCTGCCCCGCGTCCGTTATCCCGGCAACCAAAAAGGAAGAAGAAGTTTATGTCAGATGAGGAAGAGGAGGCCCGGCCCCATGGAACTATATATGTGGCACGGAAGGTATGAAGACACCTAACAATTCTTTAGCTCTAACTGTAGCATCACGCACAGCAGCACGCGTCATCATCGACGGCTAGTGCAGTTGCAACAGGGTCAAATGCAATGTCCTCCGACGTGGTCAGTGATAAGGGTTTCTGGGATGTAGACACCAGGGTAGGTTGTCGTCTCTCGGTGATTGAATTGTGATGTTTATGCTCCCAGCCTGCCGGATGGGGTAGGGATTCCACCATTGCCACTGCGGCAGAGGTAGGTGCTTGATTATTTAGGTGACAATCACCGGTAATGAATTTGGTGCAGTATTCCGTTCGTCACCACCCCCGGAAGTGTGACAAATGCGTGAAATTAGTTGTACCTTGTATCGTCCTCCCGGATAAGAAGTACGGCTTCACAAGACTCGCATGCGCGAACTGCGACGAGATGAAGATCACTTGCGCAATCGATGGTGTCGGTGTCCGGGAGAGGTTGCAGGCAAAGGCTAAGTCAACAGACACTGCTGTACACCTTCCCGCCAAACATACTAAGACTCGAGCCCACAAGTTGCGGGCTGCCAAATCACAGGCCAAACATGTCCCGTCCAAGAAAGCACAACCAACAACTAGATTCTCCCGTGCTGAGAAGAAGGTTGTACATCATTTGTTGGACGGTAAGCATTGAATCCATTGGGCTGGCGAAGATCAACGCATCACAATTTTCTAGATATAATCACGGAACGACCGATGGACCTCGTGAAAACACATCCGGATCCGCCAGCGAAACCCAACGTGCCGCAATTGGAGCCTGCGTTGGCCCCGGCAACTGCCAATTCATCGACATGCATCCGGGAGACACAAGTCAGCTCATCCGCACCCGGAAACCCACCGGAGCCTGAGCCATCTGCAAGGGACATATTGCATAGCATACACGATCTCGGCAAGCGTTTTGATCTTCTTGCTACGAACGAGCGGGTGGACGCGATCGACGAGAGGTTAGACTCGGTGGAGGAACGGCTTGATGTCAGATTGACTGTACTGGAGCAATGGTTAAGCACATCGGCCGAGCAGTGGAAAGCGACCTCGTCGACTGTGGGCAATTTGTCCATGAGCGTTCGGAAACATATAAACGATGTTGCCGTTCATCGGCATCGGGAGCATGTTGGTGGACATATAGCATCACAACAAGACAATGCGTCACATCTGCCATGGACATTCCGAAATGCTGGTAGCGGAAATGAAGATATCGCTCTCTCTCAGATAGGGAGGCCAGCTCATGGACTGACAGAATGTGGTAATATAAGAAGAGCACACTATTCCGGGAGGTCAACATCCGCTGCTCAAATACCGGGTGCATCACTTTCGTTGTTGTCCTCATCTCTTTCCTCTCGATTCTCAAGCGCACCACCCGGTATGTCGGGCGAGTAGATATTGATTCGTTCCGGCATCAGAGGCAGCTCATATCGTACTTGTATTTCTACCGTGATTCTGTAGGGTCATCGGTAAATTTTGGAGTCTGTGGCGCAAGGCTCGAATACTGTACCGATTTGATTGCTGAATGGTTAATTTATGAAGAAACTCATGTACACAAGGCACTACCGTTTCTGCGCTCGTTTCTCATCACGTATAGTCCTGGATTGACTATGTCAGCTTGTACCATAGTTTCTGCTCCCCTCAATATCAAATGTGGTTGAATATAAGTGGTTGATCCCACCCACAATGGCCGAATTTCGCCCACGGAATGGGTCGGCCGGGCCCTCCTGTAAACACGAGATTGTTGTAATCAATACAATTCTCTATACGATATAAGGCGACATCCAAGTGACTTGTGATATTGATGTTCCAGATGATGGTATACCTAATGGGCGGCCGGGTATGTACCTCTAGGTATGCAGCCGAACACTGTAATGATATCAATGGCGATCCGGATCTGACATTGATATTCATGTCAGAGGGATACGCAATATATGTAGCATCCGCTGTACTGGTGATAAACCTTGCATTCACGCCTTTGCCACAACCGCAAGAACCATCCAAACCGGAGCATTATGCCATTGGATGTATCACAGCTTGATATGATACTTATAAAGTGACGCATATCCTAACCTGCCAGGCCAATATATTATAGGAAGCAACAGTGCAGTCCATATCCACAACATACATGGCCCCGGAACCGAACTACAGAGGACGGCGACCGGGAACAGTGTAATAAAGAAAACGGTAGCTAAAAGTCTAAGATATACATATATACATTGTGAACATGGTATTATTACATAAAGTTTTCCGGAAACTTGTTGGTTTTAGATGGACCGTAAATTATCTACCGGGCATCTGAGGCGTTGAGCCTTTGCTCCAGTGCGTCTAACCGCTGGTGGAGGATATTCTCCACCGAACGCACTCTTACCTCCAAGGCGTCCACCCTCTCATTGGTGGCCAGGAGATCCAATCTCCTGCCGAGGTCGTGGATGCTCTGCAAGATGTCTCTTGCAGTTGGCTCGGGATCGGCGCGGTTTTCTGGCGCAGGCTGATCGTCCTGTGCCGGCCGATGGCTTGTGCCAACGGTTGGGACTTTGCGCATGGGCGCACCGACCGGCGGACCCGGCTGTTGCTTCTTCTCTATGATTGGATTAGTCTCAGGTTCCTCGTCGGATTTAAAAGCAAACTCACCTTCAATTACGTCGAGCTCAACCCGAGGGGGTTGGGCAAGTGATCTCTTACCCGGGGTCTTGGAGATCGCGCGGGACGTCTTCATGCGCGTTCCAGAGTTTCTGGCCGGCTTTGATGTTGCCGCGGCCGCCTTCGCTTGCATTCTCTGCCTGACGCCGACACCGTCGATGGCACAGGTGATCTTCATGTGATCGCAGTTTGCGCATGCGAGTCGAGTGTATCCAAACTTTTTGTCCGGAAGGACAACGCAGGGTATGTCCAATTTGGTGCACTTGTCGCACTGCCGAGGATGGTAACGGACGGAATGCTTGAAAATATGTTAGTCTTAAACTCCTGCTATGTACTGATAGACTTACCTTCCACGGCGTTGCGATCTGAGAATCCTGACCCCATTCGGCAGGCTATAAAAAGAATCAGTGCCAGAATGCTACACAGAGCGCGGGTAACGCACCCTTGTCTCTACTTCAAGGAAACTCTCGTCATCCGCCGCATCGGATAAATCCGGACCAGCTGCATCCGAATCCTTGTCTGATGCTGCATTGGACTTTGCAAAAATTGAGTCAATGATTCATAGGCAAATGTGATTGAACATACCTTTACATAAATAGTCCCGGTGCAAACTTTGTCCTCGTCGGCCGACAAGAACTTCTTCTTCCTCTTCTGTCTTGGCTTTGAGGATGGAGGGTGCGACTTGGGATCATCGACATCAGTATCCTCATCTTCGGCCTTTCTCTTCTTGGTGTTACTGACCTGCGGGGCCACCATTCCGGATTTCTTCTTGGTGCCGGCCACAAAGAGATTGAATTTGACAGGGAGGTGGGGAGGGCTTTGTATGCCCGCAGCCATCGGGTCTGGCGCCGGCAATACCAGCTTGTGTTCTGCTGCCGGTGCAGCAATCAGATTGTCGAAGGATTGGCTGGCTGGAAGAGCTGGCGGTGCAGATGTCGGTGAAACAGGAGCTGCTGAAGGGACAGTGGTCACAGATGCAGATGCAGCATCTTGAGGATCCAAGTCGGCAGGAACCTCAACTAGAGAGGGACGGCGGTAGCCCAAGGTCTTCTCGAATCTTGGATGGGTCTTGATCCTTGGGTCATCTTCTGCGACAGAGGTCCAATCGGGGACACTCTCAAAGGTGCCAGCCTTTGAGCACTGCCGGATAATGGCGGCACAGGAGAGTAGCAGGGGAGAGAATGATGTTGCAGTCCCCGCGTACAGTTTCAAATCTTTGGCCTGTGTATCATGGTCAAGTTTGTAGAAACGATTCAAAGTCGGAGAAAAATGAAACTTACCACTCGCCGGGCGATTTCATCCGAGAGCCTGAAGGTCTCTGGATCGGCTTCCTTTAACTTCATGCAACGCTTCATGAGCGATTGCACATCGATCAGGGTGGTGTTCAGGGCGTCGTTGGCCGCTTCCTGAGGCGTCATGATAAAGTGTGAAATGAAGTAATGAACGGGATGGGATGTACGGAAGGTGGGAATTTCTGAATGGGACCGCAACAAGCCTTAATCCACTTCTCACCCATGAATGGTGGTAAGTCGTGCTTTGAATATCCGGACAGCCGTACATTGTATTCCGGAAGCAGTTGTGGATCGGCCTTTGCCGGTGTAGATCCACTGGGTTCAGCCAATGGTAGCTGTGGTTGATCTATACAATAGTCTTACACCCGGACCACATATGTGACTCTCCACAGTTTTCGGACTGCCCATAACCGACGGATTCATATAAAACCCGGACGCTGTGCGACATTGTCCCATTCAGAAATTCCCACCTTCCGTACATCCCATCCCGTTCATTACGACAATCTGATTGCTGCACCGGCAGCAGAACACAAGCTGGTATTGCCGGCGCCAGACCCGATGGCTGCGGGCATACAAAGCCCTCCCCACCTCCCTGTCAAATTCAATCTCTTTGTGGCCGGCACCAAGAAGAAATCCGGAATGGTGGCCCCGCAGGTCAGTAACACCAAGAAGAGAAAGGCCGAAGATGAGGATACTGATGTCGATGATCCCAAGTCGCACCCTCCATCCTCAAAGCCAAGACAGAAGAGGAAGAAGAAGTTCTTGTCGGCCGACGAGGACAAAGTTTGCACCGGGACTATTTATGTAAAGGTATGTTCAATCACATTTGCCTATGAATCATTGACTCAATTTTTGCAAAGTCCAATGCAGCATCAGACAAGGATTCGGATGCAGCTGGTCCGGATTTATCCGATGCGGCGGATGACGAGAGTTTCCTTGAAGTAGAGACAAGGGTGCGTTACCCGCGCTCTGTGTAGCATTCTGGCACTGATTCTTTTTATAGCCTGCCGAATGGGGTCAGGATTCTCAGATCGCAACGCCGTGGAAGGTAAGTCTATCAGTACATAGCAGGAGTTTAAGACTAACATATTTTCAAGCATTCCGTCCGTTACCATCCTCGGCAGTGCGACAAGTGCACCAAATTGGACATACCCTGCGTTGTCCTTCCGGACAAAAAGTTTGGATACACTCGACTCGCATGCGCAAACTGCGATCACATGAAGATCACCTGTGCCATCGACGGTGTCGGCGTCAGGCAGAGAATGCAAGCGAAGGCGGCCGCGGCAACATCAAAGCCGGCCAGAAACTCTGGAACGCGCATGAAGACGTCCCGCGCGATCTCCAAGACCCCGGGTAAGAGATCACTTGCCCAACCCCCTCGGGTTGAGCTCGACGTAATTGAAGGTGAGTTTGCTTTTAAATCCGACGAGGAACCTGAGACTAATCCAATCATAGAGAAGAAGCAACAGCCGGGTCCGCCGGTCGGTGCGCCCATGCGCAAAGTCCCAACCGTTGGCACAAGCCATCGGCCGGCACAGGACGATCAGCCTGCGCCAGAAAACCGCGCCGATCCCGAGCCAACTGCAAGAGACATCTTGCAGAGCATCCACGACCTCGGCAGGAGATTGGATCTCCTGGCCACCAATGAGAGGGTGGACGCCTTGGAGGTAAGAGTGCGTTCGGTGGAGAATATCCTCCACCAGCGGTTAGACGCACTGGAGCAAAGGCTCAACGCCTCAGATGCCCGGTAGATAATTTACGGTCCATCTAAAACCAACAAGTTTCCGGAAAACTTTATGTAATAATACCATGTTCACAATGTATATATGTATATCTTAGACTTTTAGCTACCGTTTTCTTTATTACACTGTTCCCGGTCGCCGTCCTCTGTAGTTCGGTTCCGGGGCCATGTATGTTGTGGATATGGACTGCACTGTTGCTTCCTATAATATATTGGCCTGGCAGGTTAGGATATGCGTCACTTGATGCGCCTGAAGTGGTTCAAATAGCATATTTGCATTAGGATTGACATCCGTCATGTTACTGACTGCTGAATAATGTTTGCCACACGCCCGGCATACGGATCTGACAACGGAATACGTCCCGGGTTGCATTCATGCCCTTCCTTCGCAATATTCCGCTTTCACCAGTCACTCACGTACCATGTCAATATATATAACTACATGGTCGCCCGAGATATCGCTTCCGCAAATGATAGGCACTGATCTCAAAATCTCTAATTCTCACTGCCGATCACAAACATGTGAAGTTGGTTGGTCGAACAATTGCGGTCTGCTGGGACCAAACAGACATTTGTTCGTTCCATTTGTAACACCTTCTGGTGTGAAATTCATTCAATCCACATCCTTGAAGACCAATTCTCGGCCATTTGTCTACCTTTCCAAGACTAATCGGGGATAAGCGGCAAACCATCCCCTTCCGATATCACTTCCGCCTGCCGATGTCACAAATCTCATCATCGCTGACCCATGTGGAGCGCAGAGGCATAGTCTTCCGAGCCTAAAGATATCAAACTGACTTTTGTGAAACATAACTTAAGTGGAAATCAGATGCTTATCGTCGTCGATAGTATGATGGTAAATTGGTCCTTCCGAAATTACACATTTTGTGAATCATGAAAAAACCAAGGTGGCTCCAGGGTCAGCATTTCCGATACCAAATTCATATTCCCTTGGCCAATCATGACTAGCCGGGCCCAACCGTTTGTGTAATCGGTTGGGGTACGCCCGTGGTGAAATAACCAACCATGCTAAACCTTCAGTCCTTCCGATATCACACTCATAATAAGCTGGGCGCAACAGTCGGTCCTTCCAACATTGTATACATATTGACATATGACGAGCTGGCCCTTCCGAGATCACTTGATTGTGCTCCTGGGCCGAAAACAACTAGCCAACCCTTCCGATATCAAATGCTTGTTCTCCTGAGCCGAACCATCTCCTCTCCAAGATTATATGCAATTCTCCTGGATGCGTCGAAAATGAGCGGTCGGCCCTCCCGAGATCTGCTGGGCTGAACCGCTAATCCTTCCCCCGACAATATTTCCTGACCCCAAACACAATCGGCCGGCCCATCCGATATCAGACGCATGCCCACCAGCTGGCTCGTATGCCGGGACGACACATGACTACCAGTCGCCGCTTGGGTCCACAAATTACTGGCTTGGCCCAACCGCCAGTCCTTCCGAGAATTCTCCTGGGCCGAAAACATACCTAGTCGGCCCTTCCGACATCAACTGCGTGTTTTCTCGAGCCCATCCGTTGGCCCATCCGAGATCATGTACGCATTCTCCTGGGCCGAAAAATCACCAGTCGGCCCTTCCTGTATCAGCTGGGCCAACGGCCATTCCTTCCGACATATTCTCTTGGGCCGAAACTGATTGGCCGGCTCTTCCGATATGAAATCCCAACCATCCGCACTTCCGAGATCACATGCTGGGCCCAAAATTACTTGCTTGGCCCAACCGCCAGTCCTTCCGAGAATTCTCCTGGGCCGAAAACATACCTAGTCGGCCCTTCCGACATCAACTGCATGTTTTCTCGAGCCCATCCGTTGGCCCATCCGAGATCATGTACGCATTCTCCTGGGCCGAAAAATCACCAGTCGGCCCTTCCTGTATCAGCTGGGCCAATGGCCATTCCTTCCGACATATTCTCTTGGGCCAAAACCGATTGGCTGGCTCTTCCGATATCATATGCTGGGTCAACACAAAACCTACTGGTCAGCGCTTGGGCCCAAAATCACTAGCAGAGCCCTTCCGAGATGACATGGATATAGAATATCCAGCTGGGCCTATCTGTTCTTCCTTCCGAGACATATATACAGGGCCCATCCGTCACTCTCAGTACCTGTATCCCAATACGATCGGCCCGCTTATCCTATTGATCTCACACTTGGCCGACCCGCCAGCATGGGTACTATTCCAAGCTGTGGGCCCATCCGTGATCAGCTATGCTTGGGCTCACATTGGATGGCCCGCCTCACTGGGTCGATTCTCAACCTTTGGCTGTCCGACTAAGTCGGGAAATGTTACTGAAGGGGCTCGCCCCGGCGCCGGTGCTGCCGATATACAATTGTTCAAAATGGGCTTATTCCCGGCGTCTTTCTTGGAACCGAAGACAGCATTCACTTTCGATGTCTTAAATGACTTCTTGCTCGACAACCTGGAGTGCGGAACATCGGCGATGAACTACTACAGTAAATTGAGAAGGATGACAACGACCGTCTTTCCGCATTTGGTGCCAGTTAGTGCGTTTATTCCTTGCCGAGTATTTTATTAATTGGAATACAGGACCGGTACCGGGAGCTCATGAGGGTGGCGAGACAATGGAGGAAACTCAAGCTTCTCAAAAGGAATGGCTTCGGCCATGAGGAAAGGAAGTCAAACCCGGCGATTTAGCTTTGTTTTGTCCGGCGTGTCCCCAGCCAGGCATTAACGTCACTTTGCCTGTCGGCGAACCCACGGAGGATCAGAATGTGAACAACGAGTTAGATTTACAGACTCCAAGTTGGCTATATACGAGATCACTCGTCATGGATGGAAACTTCAAAGCCGAGCATCTCCATGCAGTAAATCCCGGCGACGAGGTATCTCTGATGGACGGCCGTGGGTTTATGGTAGGAGACGCCTTGTACAAGGAGCATTTGGCCGTTGCACAAGACACCATGCAACGATGGGAATGCAACAACCACCGCGCGGTGAATCAGGCGAATGCATCGCATCAAAGATTGGAAGCAACCGGCATCGGCGGTTGTGCCTGTGCACGGCATGGCTGTTTTGTTCCTCACGCCATGGTCGATTTTCAGAAGGGAGAAAGGTGGGTCAAAATATGTCAGCAAATGTATATTTAAGCCGAGGTGATTCAGACAGATGAACATGGATTATGCACTGTGCCAGGCGTTGAAAATCAACGCCAATGGAATCCGCCGTGTGTTGACATTTTATGATGTCAACTGTCAGTACCACAAGCGTCTAAGGGACCGCATCGCCGACAGTCCAATCATGGAGATCCCTAAAGAAATGAAGATTATCCCTGGCATTGGACTGTGGCATGTTCATGGCCATCAAGACAGTTGCTATGTGAGATATGCATCAAATTTCATCAAGGGCGCCGGGCGGATTGATGGCGAAATCATGGAGACATTATGGGCGCCGTTGAATATCATTTCGCCGGCCGCCCGTGGAATGGGAACTCCGCATTGCAAGGAATGCTTGGACTATCAAATGAATGATTGCAATTTCATGAAAATGATCAGAATGAGTGCGCTCTCCTTCCTATATATTGGAACAACTCATAATAGGCCATGCAGGCAAGTCGCTGTGCAAGAAGTACAACAAGGCGGTCAGGGGGACCGCCGACAGTAAACTGGCGTTTGAAATGCTTGATGAGACGGCCGATCCGGTGAAAGTCCGGGAATGGGAAGCCCAAGAGAGAGCGGCGCACCAGCGGCCCCGCCGTGACCCAACGGCAATGGATATTTATGAAGTACAACTACAGAAAGGTATGTGCGATGCTTATATAGCAAGTCTAGTCTCATCCAACTACAGCGCCGACGAGAAAGCAGCAGGAAATACGATTATTAGCGGAACAAGGGCAGCGTCCAGGTCCTATCCGGCAACGAGGGGCTGCGACATGGCTGGCAGAGGGATTGACAATTGAGGAGGCACAGGTCACATTGCAAATGGCTATTAGAAGACTCGGTGGTCGGCCGACAGACACGCAGCAGTTGCGTATTGCCCGTGGCCGAGACATTTTACAAAGGGATATAGACCGTTGGAGACAAGCCGGACTTGCGTTTCTCGGCGACAGCATCGGCGACGCGCCCGGCGATGGTGAAGAATGTAACATGGACCTGGACCTCATCATGCTTGAAGAAGGATCAGATGCCGGAATAGAAAATCAGCCAAGCTCCTATCACCCAGAGATGACAGTAATTCCCCTGCCATCTAACTTAGGCCGGGATACATGTACAGCCATCGGCATCGATGATTTGGTCAAGCAAGAGCTTATTCTCCGGCAAGGCCAGGCCAATGATGCTCTTCAAAATATCAGAGTGCATTTGGCTGACAAAGCGGTCATTTTTAGGAAGACTGTCAGGGTTGCTAAATCTCAAGCAACTTCTACCCGAGCTTGGGCTCAAGTGCACTCGGTGGATAGGGCGGTCAGCATCCAGGCCAGCATCTATTCACAATGCTGCAAACAACTTTGCAAACTCGGCGCCAATGATACGTTGCTCCGGCGATATCAGGCGCTAGTCAAAGAGCAACTGAAGGTCAGTACCGCCGTCGCCGATCCAAACTCACGGGGACAGCGAGATAACATGCTACCCTGGTTTTGGTCGTTGGACGTGGCAGGAGATTCCGAGAGCAGACTGGTTAAATGAATGTAAGGAATTCACACCGGCGCCATGTCAGTCGTGCGCTGATGCCACCGATGTCGCAGTTTACCGTGTACATTGGCTTCGGGCGAAGGCTTTAAAGGATCGTTGGGTGGAGGAGATGTTGCTTGTGCGGCATGAAATGGACTGGACTTGCAACTTCTTTCTTCACAAGGCTGTGGAGTGGAAACGCCTTGGCACCGTCGCGAAGGAAGACAACAAACAAGGTTCAATGGCTTACGCAGGGAGGCAGGAAAAAATCTATGAAAGTTTGTTGGAGGAGGCTAGGCAGGCATTTCACCGGATGAAAGCTTAACCGCCAACATGGGGTATGAGAGGTGAAGTCGATAACTTGTAGTCATATCAGGTTCATGCCGATGTTGTACTGTCACATATATCGGCGAGACCGTTGTTTTTGTGGCGCCGGAGTATGTCCTGTGCATCCGCAGCCGTGTGATTCTCACTATATCCAACCGGCGGTGTTTTATCTACAACTTTATACAATGAATATACTACTATTACTACATAGCATTAGCCCGGACTCAATACTCATTGGGCCCCCTCCCGCTTTAAATACTTCATCAACTTTTCGGTGGTGGCGATGGCATTAACGACGTCCTGTCCCAATGCGGTGTCCATGCGAAGCATGGTGGCGGCTACCATTTTGGCCTCAACTACTTTGTCTTCCAGCATCTTGACAATGAGTTGGCCTTCATGCAGCACCTCGGCGTGGATGGTTGACAGTTGCTGCACAACCGGCGTGGACATCGGGTGAGCGAACATAGCCGGGGTGATCAGAATCCTTCCCTCCGGCTAGAGCCGGCGTCAGTGACAAGTTGTAATATAAGTGGGGAAGACTTTACCAATTGCTTGAAATGTTCGCCGATTATTTGCTGAACCTGAACACAATTTGGATAAGTGTTGAAGAAGTCCTGGTCGGACTTCAGGTTAGCTAACTCCATCCACCATGGTGTCCAATATGTCTGGGCCAGTCAACCTTTCTGCCACGGTCCAGGCGGCGCAGCCGGCAAGGTCATGAAGGCGTCATATACCTCCTCGTAATTGGTGATAAGTCCGACCTGTTTCATGGACAGCACGCCGACGAAGAATCGGAGATTCCTCGACAGCGGTGGGCTGATGGACAACCCGGCACAAAAGGACATCCACGGCAGAGTAAAGGACTGCGCTATTCATTAGCTCGGCGGGCTGGCGGTCGGTGTTGTACTTACCTCTCCTTCCCAGTTCAAGTATTTGCCGATGATGCGGCAGGTTCTTGGCGTCAAGCTGACATGTGAAGTCTCCAGCTCGGTCCGGATAGCCGATAGACGGGAGGAAGCGTATTCAAAAATGCTAGCGATGTCGGACATGTCCAAATTCATCTCGTCAGATATTGAGTCCGCCAACATCATTGCAGAGATGGAAGGATGGGACATTATGAAATTGTAGTACGAAATCGTCATGGCCAGCGCCTTAAATAGATATAGGTGATCGGGATTTTAATTACATAATGATGTGGGTCGGGAATATTGTATTGTATTGTGATTCGGCGGGTGTTGCCGAAGTGCGAGCTGGTCAATGGTGGACCACATAATTGACTGTGTATCGGTGGATACACCCATCTGTCGGCCAGAACAATATGTGCCGTTGGGCCACAGCTGTGAATGTGTAGATTGTGGAACATCTTGTCCGCTGTGGTCACATTCGGAAAATGCCGTGGAACAATTAAGTAACACATAATCCACCGCCACTGTGGTCACAGCGGAGTTATATATATAGTGTTAGAGTTTGTCGCCGTTTCTCATCTTTAACTCATACCAAAATGTCCTCTGCCAACAATATTGCCGCCGCTAACAAGGCCTTCAGCGACGCTGCCAACAAGATCGACCACCTGCTGGGGCAAGCTTCTCAATTAGATGCCGCGGATGCGCGCCACTTGACCATAGCCATGGAGATGGGCAAGGTTTTGGTAAGTACTTGTTACATATTGTAGAGTGACCTAATTTTTGGCAGACCCAGGTTATGATGTCCCATGGCGGGAGTGCAACCGTCCTCTCGCCGCTGATATTGTCGGCTGCTGCAGAACTGCAGCAGCATATGAACATATCTAGGACCGGTCTTACTGGCACGCCCGTATGGGCCAATATACGAGGTGATGATGTTCGCATCCAAACTCACCCTCTGTTCCCCTCCACCAGAAATTACCGGCGCAGCCCGCCGCCTTCGCCGCCTAGCCAGGGCCCTTCTAAGCCCAGAAAGCGCCCTGTGGTGGAGGAGCCCGAAGAATGTGGGCGAGGTACTGAGCATGGGAAACGCGCCCATGCTCCGAGCACCAGAAGCTGGAGCCGCCCGGCGATGTCTAAACGACAGCGCCAAAAGTCTAGGGCGGTTGCCAGCAGCAATGACGAGCTGGATGAAGAGATACCAGCTACACCAGCCATTCCAGTAAGTCAATGTCTTATCCTCGCAACTCACAGCTAACACCATTCCCAGACCACCACCAAAGCGCTGTCTTGTTACTTAAGGGTCTTATATAAAAGTTGTGTATAATGACAACACAATTATACACAGGGAAGACTTCTTGCCAGTCCTTAAGTCCACGGTCTCCGACTTTTCTACTTCGTGGGAGGTAACGTGGTGAGTTCTTGGGAGGATTTAGTTTGTTGTCCTCTTCTTGTGTAGTCTGATACGAAGTGTTGTGGAATGTTCTGTGTTCTGGATAAATTCGTTAGGTTTGTTTCAGCCTAGTAGGTCGTGTTTCAACCTATGAAAGTCTGTTTCAACTTTGTCGTCCTTAGATATGTGTCTCACTTTCCGTTGAAAGAGAGAGTCTTATGTATACACGTAAAGCTTAGAATGAGAGCTGTTCGATGGTTATATAGTCAACCCCTGTAAGGTAGTATATAACCTAGAGTAGAATAACGATAACGAAAGTTATATAGTCAACCCCTGTAAGGTAGTATATAACTTTAGAATAGAATAATGATGTGTCTTAGTCTTACTTCAAGGCACGTTGCCTGCACTTTTATTCTTACGTACTCTCACACGGTGTGAGAGAAGAATGAAAAATGGGAAGTTATATTTTATGGGTGAAAATGGGGTCCTTTTATACCTTTTGGGAACCCCCTTACTAAGCATGATTTATCAGATGGATTGGTAAGAATGTGGCTTACAAACCAGATGATGAATCAGCTTATTACTAAGTACATTACAAATACAGTGTAATCTTACAAAGAATTTACAAAGCATGACAAATCATGACAAAACATGATGAGTCATGTGAATGTTGTTACAAAGCATGACCAATCATGACTAAACATGTTGAGTCAGCTTAAATAATGTTACAAACCAGAATATTCCCCAGTCACATGATGTGCTGACAAATAAAATCTGGTGGCTGAAAGAAGCCAAATAAAAATAAACAGTCAGAAATAAATAGAGATACAAAACTTTGACAAACAAATCTGTGGCTGAAAGTAGCCAAATAAAAATAAATAATGAGAAATAAACAGAAGGTCACATGCTCATAAAAATACAAGGTAAAATAAATCTGAAAAGTGAGAAATAAAATACAAGACAATGAAATAAAGGAAAAATAGAAAGGTAACTCAGTGACAGAGGGCTAGACAGTCTCTCATATCTTCCTTATCACTCTCTATATATATCTGACATGGTATGAATCACATACCATGCATGACATCCACCCCGAACGAAAAATCGCAACTGTCCCCAGTTGAAGGGTAGGTCATGTCATTTTATTAATCATGATGTTGGTGACTCCTCCATCTGTTCTCTGGGTTGACAAGATGGTGCCATTCATCTAGGAGTCTGAAAATTTCGAAGTATACTGCACATGTAGGACATATTTGTGATAATGCTTCCTGGTGATTGTGATCCCAGAAGTATATCATTTGATTATAATGGGTTCTGATATCTTGAAAAATAAAGTACTCGTGAAGTTTATTGCAATCCTCTAAAAGGATGTCAAATAAACTTGCAATGTTCTGTTGAATTCGGTTTTCTATTGTGGTGTCTTTGCCGTTCATGATGTGATGTGTTTTGTTATTCGTCCTCTGAGAGGAAAGAAGTATCTGAATCTGATCCTGATGAATTTTTCTCAGAGTCTTGACCATTATCAAGAGTATCTGCAATTGATTGTAGAGTGGGATCATTTCGGCTTATATACGGAATTAGTCTAAAGGAGGCTACACCACGTCTAGACAAAGTTCCGTTCATTTCTTTAAGAATGTAGGATCCACCTTTGGTTTGTCTCTCGACAACAAAGGGTCCTAAGTATCGTGGTTTAGTTTTGCGATTCAGTTCTTTCTCAACTTGGGTATTTCGGACTAGTACAAGATCACCTGGTGCGAATGATTTTCTGTGCATCCTCAGATGATATTTCTGTTCAAACTGAAGCTTGGACTTAAATCTGGCCTTCTTTAATGTCTTAGCGGCACGTCTCAAGTCTTCAGGACGTCGTTCAATTTGGCGTATTCGTAATGCGAGGAAATCGACAGGATTCATATCCGTGTGAAATCCATCAACAAGGAATGTGGCTTCACTAAGGTCAAAAGGTAGAACAGGATGGACTCCATGTAATAGGTAGAAAGGTGAGAATCCGGTTGCACGGCTTGTGGTAATGTTTTCAGCAAAGAGTGCCTGAGGAACCTTCTCAGGCCATCGTGAGATGTGCTTTTCACAACTTTTAACTATTGCTTCTCTGATATTAAAGTGTCCACGTTCAACTACCCCATTTGCTTGTGAGTTGTAGGGTGAAATTTGAATCTGTGGAATGTCCACTTGTTGAAGTAAATTTTGGAATGCTCCCTTGACTTCGGAGCCATTATCGGTGACTATCTGCCCTATTGCTCCATATCGGCAATACAAGTCTTCCCAGAAAAACTTGGCCATAGCTTTGGCGGAGGCAGATCGTAATGCTCTTCCTTCTACATATCGTGAAAGATCATCTCGAGCTAACACTAGATGCTTCATACCATTCCCGGCAGGCATCTTGAGTATGTCAATGTAGATCTTTGTGAAGATTGTGGCAGGTGTAGAGACTGTGATAGGTATGTGCATTTTCTTTGTGCTTCGAATCTGACAATCATGACAAGATTGTACATGGTGCTTAACATCGGTATACATATGTGGCCAGAAGAATCTATATCGAATAGTCTCAAAGGTAGACTGAACTCCTTTGTGGCCTAAATCTTCATGTGCTCCTGATAGTATAGACAGCCGTTTATCAGGATCAAAAATAACGAGCAAAGGGGGTCTATCTGGTAGACGCTTGTACATCTTTCCCTTTTGTACAAAGAATCGAGTTGTACGCTTGACAAATTTCTTGCGTTTAGCAGTACTTTCAAAACTTGGTGCTTCAAGTGTGGTAAGGAACTTGAAAATATCTGTCAAAGTCTGCTCTTGATCAGCAGCTGACAAAAATATAGATGGTAGGTTATTGGGATTATATGGATGTGTAGTGAAATTTGAGATTGACGTGAATAGGGCTATTTCGTCTAACCAAGAGTCATCTTCAGGGATAATCTCTTCGTCTGAAGCTAGAGGGCGTCTAGATAAGCCATCAGGCCCTCTGAAACTTGTTGCTGGTACATGGTGAAGTGTGAAATCAAATAGGAGAATTCCTTGAATCCATCTATTGATTGTGGCATTTGGTTGTAGGTCGGGCTCATTAAGCATGCCCTTGATATATTTTGCGTCAACTTCTACATGGAGGTTCTGAACTCCAATGATGTGAAGTCGGTAATGTCGAAGTGCTCTGAAAAGTCCATACAATTCTAACTTGGGCTGAGAGTATCGTGACTCTGCATCGCCCATAGGTAAAGAACCATATTGTGCTGGACGTCGTCGTCCTTCATCGTCTACTTGCGAAAGGATGATTCCTACAGCTATGAAGCTGGAATCAACTGATAAATATACGGGGTTTGAAGAAGTATAGTCAATGCTTCTCATTGCTGGTGCTGAACATATACGTTCCTTCAAAGTTTCGAAAGCAATATCTTGCTTATCTCCCCAAATAAAAGGGGCATCTTTTCTCCAAAGTTGGGTGATAGGTTTTGCTAGTTCAGAGAATCCTAGTATCCAAATACGAACTGTCCCACAAAGTCCCATAAATCCTCGGGCTTCTTTAATCGTAGTGGGAATTGGCCAGTTGAGAATTTTGGACACTTTCTCGGTATCAGGTAGTCTTCCTTCCGGAGTACAGTGCTGTCCTACAATAAGGACGTCTGGAAGGCAACACTGAATTTTCGTAGCGGAGAATGTTGCACCTACGTCTTTTATACGGTGCATGATACGGTGAACATCATTTGCATGTTCCCAAATAAATCGTCTAATCCCTGGGTTTTCTTCTAAGACCTCGGGATTACCTTTATTGTCAGGATAGATAGTTTGTGGACCTTTGACTGGAAGGTCATCTATGAAAACATTGGCTACGTGTGGAATTTCATCCTGCAGTACAAAGCTGGTACATTTCTGAAATTCTGCAGGTGCATTTGTATAGCCCATTGGCAAGGCTGTTAATCGCAGCAGTCCTAATGGTGTTAGGAAAGCTGTAAGATCTCTACTTTCTGGGTGCATTTTACGTGCATTAAATCCCCAGAATAAATCGAATACGGTGTAACACTGAGCTCCAGCAAATGACTCCACAAAGTCATCCACTATAGGAATGAGTCCAGCATCTCGAATAGAAATTTTGTTGAGAGGTTGAAGGTCATGGACTAGTCTTAGTTTGCCATTCTTCTTGAGTACACAGAACCAACGTGAACGGTATGCAGATTGGCTTGGTTCGTATACTCCTGCATTAATCTTGGACTTTAGTAGTTCAATAACTTTTTGACGTATCCCCGGTGGGATAGGAATATTCTTATATTCCCAAGGTACATGAGGTACAGTGGGAATGATATATGGGGTGAAATATGTTTCTTTGAGAGTCCCCCTATCTGTTTCTTCAAATGCTAGGGTCTCTTGATTTAAATTCATGATGTGTTGAAAAAGTTTATCTTCTTCAGGCCAAAGAAATCCTTGTGAATTTATCTTAAGGTCAACCATACGATCATGAGTTAGACGTCCATTAGGAACAAATTCAGGAGGATGTGGGGTTAACGGGATTAGATTTCGGAGTGGGTCATGAGGAAAATGACGATCTACTCTGGCTCCTTGGGGAAAAGTTCCTGACACGGGCTTGACTTTTTTGTCAACCCTCTTGTACATTGTAAGCACTGGATTTCCCTCAGGATAGTTGGTAGAGTCACAGGAAATTAAGATATCAGACTCAGTATCAGAATTTTCATTATAGTCTGAGTCTTGAAGTATAGTGTCTTCTTTGAAATTTGATGATTGATTTTTGGATGTGGGATTATTTCTAAGTCTCTCAAAACAGTCTTCTATAGACTCATTTTCAAGTAAATCTGAAGGATACACTAGGATCTCCTTACTTGAATTTTGTTCAATAGGTTTTGAGT